TTAAAAAAATTCTCCCCCTAGTGGTAGAGTACGTATTAACCAGCTTTGCATTAGTTCCTATGGGAACTAATGCTTCAATGTACGAACGCACCTCTACATAACAAAAAAACAGCCAGAACGGATTAATTGGTTTTCAGTCCATTCCTATGGGAAATTTTGCTTCAACTTAAGAACGTTTCAACTTAAGAACACCATTCCAAAACGGATTAAGTTCTTAAGTAGAGGTTCCACTGTAGTTTCTATGGACGGAAAAGAGCAGATACGGATTAAATGGTTTTCAATGCATTCCTATGGGAAATGCAGATTCAACATAAGAACTTTTCAACTTGAGAACCACCTTCCAATACGGATTAAGTTCTTAAGTAGAGACCCCACTGTATATATTTTATGTTGTGCCTTCCTCCTTCCCACCCCCCGCTAGGCAGTCACTGGCGCTCCCTCCCTTCTCCTCTTCTTTGTCCTGCTGCTGCTGCTTCTGGTGTAGTGAAGAAGGAACCGGAGGGGGTCATGGCTGGCGATGAGGGCTCGCATGCCCTTCCTCCTCCTCAGAGCCACAGCCAGGCTAAGGAAACTCCTGGGTGGCTTCCTCGGGCTCTTGCTCCACTTAGTGGAAAATCTGATGTGGCCCGGCCTCAGCCAGACTCTGCCTCCAGCAGCCCCCAGGTAAATTGAGTTTGAGACCCCTGGTCTAGTCACTCAAAGCCTTTATAAGAACATAAGTGCCCAACAAAGTTATGCAGGTACACTTAATCCTGTTGGAAGTCAAAGCGAAAGTAAAACTGTAGATGTCAATGCAGGACCTATCCTGGTCTAACTAGCATTTAAAATAAAATTACCAGAAACTGAAAATGCAAGGCAATATAAAGTTCGAGTGCCTTTCACAGGGATCCCTATGCACACACTGACAGTGCTCCTCAGATCCTTTCCCTACACTTTGGAATGAAACTGTCAGTGAACAAAGGCAGCTCTCCCCCTTTTCATCATCTCACAGCACTTCAGCATCTTCATTGTACATTGTTACAGAACCTTTATTTGCCCCTTTTAATTTCTCTTTGCCTTTTTCCATTTTATTCACATTTTTATTGATTTTTTTAAAAAAAACTTCAAAATCCACAGTTTTTTCAGAACATTTTGGCACTACCCCAAGGTGCTTCTTAACAAAACCAGAGTTGCCCTTGGATTGCTCCAAATAACTCAGTTTCAGCTCAGAATTTAGGATTTCACTACAGCAGGCCACAGCCTTAATACAGATCTTAAGCACTGTTGTTTTTATTTCCTCATGCTTGGTAAAACTCTTACAAATTAAAAGAGGTTCCGCCCTAAGCCCTGGTTCCTATTAACCCTGTGGATAACTGAATGTTAATAATCAAAGATGAGATAAATTAACCTACCATTTTTGTGAAGATATCAACACAAGCATTGCGTATTCTCTCTGGAGTGGCTGGGCTATCTAATCTGAATGGGCCTTTTAGTCCTGATTCCTCCCGGGCAGATGCGATGGCGTCTTTAATGGCATAAAACACAGAGGCTGACAGGAATAAGGGAGGTTCACCAACAGCCTGCATACAGAAAAGAGAATCAGATTTTTCTGCCAACTACTTCTTGATGCACAGCTTAAAGGGAAAATGCTTACAGTATGATTCACCTATAGCCAATACCAAGGAAACATTCATCAGTTGATGGACAATGCTTGCTAAGGATTGTGTGTGAAAAAGTTTACAATGGCACCAGGAGATACAGTGGTGCCTCGCTTAACGGGCAATGGGCAAAAATCGCTTTGCGATGATTGGTATCCTGTTTCGCTTACCGATCATCACAAAGCGATGATTTTTTAAAGCTGATCGGTGGTTCCAAAATGGCCACCGGGTAAAAAAATGGCCACCCGCTGTTTTCTGGGACGGATTCCTCACTTACCGGGCAGCGAAAATGGCCACTGTATGGAGGATTTTCGCTTAAAGATGAGTCTGAAGCCCATAGGAACGCATTGAAGGGGTTTCAATGCATTCCTATGGGCTTTTTATTATTGCATAGCAACAAAATCGTTTTGCAGCGATTTTTGCTGCACCGATTATCGTCACTATGCAAGGCACCACTGTATAGCTTAATTCCAGTTAAATGAAGCATCTGTGATGTTATCAGTAAAACCAGTGAAACAAGTACATTACTTGAGAACATTGCTTTTCTAAGAAAAGCTGCTAAAGGATTTAAGAATAGATAAAAACTGTTTGCCATGCTAGAAAAGCATCTATGAAGCATAGTTAAGCAGTTCATATTCAAACCACTGGAGGGCAGTACTACAGTATGTAAACATGAAGCATATCCATGTATTCCATTAGTGCTCAGCTACTGGGTTCTTCTGATCCAGAATCAGAGTTTGCAGAGTCACACGTTTGGACTGCAGCTCCCTGAATTCTGCCAACCAGCATGGACTAGGAGATTCTTCGAGTCATAGTCCAAAAATGTAATTTTTCCAGGCTCTGTTGCTTTTCTGATTTACATATTTTATCGGGAAGGAGAAAGACAAGCAGAATGAATGGAAGTTGTTTTTTTTTTTTAAAGTGAAAGACATGAACTTAGAGAGATCAGCTGAAATACAGAGACAAAAAGAGAGCAAGTGATCTACAGGAATAAAGCCACGATTCAGCACACAGCTAGTTCTGCTTACGTCACATGCTATACGCAAGCTAAAACAAGGTAGCTGACTCTGCCCTGCAGTCTGGTCTAAGCAATGAAAAGGAGGCCCCACATTCCCAACATCCCAAACATGAAAGTTTTTGAGGAGCAATGTTTGGACCTGTTTGTTATCAGGGTTGCACACTTCAGACTTTGACACTGAAATCTCAGGTAATGGGATGTTGCTAATCAGGCACCCCTGATCTGGTTTGGGGTTTCATCTTGACATCCTGTAGATTACACTGAATTTTGCTACTTGATCCAAATGCACTTTTGGAATGTACTTGCTTCCCACAGAGCATCACAGCCTGCAGCCTGCCTATCTCTTCCAAGGCTCTGGAAGGCAGACTCACAAGCATGTACAGAGTTCTTCCTCGCAAGTAGCTTAAGCACATCATGATCTTGCTAAGTCATGATGCTGTTCCAAGATGGAAGGTGAAACTAAGTTAACTAGCCATCTCCCTTAAATCCCATCATCCTGCAGTCTACAGTTGTAAGAGTCCACCAATCAGCGGGTGGCTTTTAATTGGTTTTAGCTGCACCAGCCAAGGCTAATTAACCATGTTCCAGGTGCGACTGGTATTCATCAACACAACATTCCCCACCCATGTCAAGCTCAGGATGTCTTCTTGAACTTTCTTATCTTGAGATGGTATGCCGTTGTTATACAGTTCCCAAAATGTTCAGGCCTGGGCTGTTCAGCAGGAGCACTTGACAGATTTTACAAATTGATGTTAACCCTCTAACCACTTTACAGATGTTGTAGAGTTGGTGTTAACTCCATAAACCATAATCCCTTCACACAATCACAAACCGTTGGCAGCGGTTGCTTTAGGCTCAGTTTCTGTGGCATCACACAGGCATGTCCTCCGGGTCTAAAGCTTCAGCTCTGAAACCTTGGAGAGTGGGATGCTGCTGACCTGGCAACCCTAGTCTATAGGTATGTGAAGCATTGATTCATCTATAAATATAGAATCAAAGAATTGTGGATATGAATTGGTCTGTGCACTGTCCATCACCCCATCCTCACTGCTGTTTATTTTGAGCTGGAATGTGCAACATCTGTGGGAGAGTTCTGTCTCTCTGTGATACATTTACCTTGGAAGAATAAATGGCTTTGCTGTTTGGACAGTCCCGTAGAAGCGACACGTGGAACTCTGCTGGTATGTCACCAAAAGCAGGGATTTTGTACATTCCTGGACCCCGGGTGTACAAGTTGCCTTCTGGGGAATAGCGCAGCTCCTCTAGAGTAAAGAGCCCTACTCCTTGGACAAACGCTCCTTCTACCTGCAAAAGAAAACCAAAAACAAGCCATATTCTATTTTAAATTTAAATTTTATTTTATTTTTGAGAGAATGGGCCTTGCCCTCTCAATGTTTTTCATCTCTCCCCCAGTCTGGGACACAGAAATGTATCTGGTGACAAAAACGTGATGAGCGAACCTAAGCTACAAATAATTTAACAATTTGTTCTACCAAAATAATTCATTTTACTACTGTTGTTTATCAGGCCTGTTGCTGCTCATAGATCAACTTAATCAGTTTGTTGGCATGTGCATTTATTTATTTGTTTTATTTTATATGTATACTGCCCATCTGATAACCCAGGCCACTCTGAGCAGTTCAAACAGCACAATAAAACAGACCGTACAATAACAAAATAAATTAAACAATACAATTAATTTAAACAACTAAAAATTATCCCTATTCACGAAGGTACCAAAAAAGGACACTCTGACACTCATCCAGCAGATCTTTCCAGAAGACATCACAGTCCTTTTCCAACATTGCCTAATGACCAGCTACCTTCTACATGGAACATTCCAAAAAACAGGCCCTGGCTTCGGCACCCTTCACACCCACAGTCTGGTTCTGATATGTGGATGACACCTTCGCAATTTGGAGCCATGGTGAAGAAAAACTGGAAGAATTTCTAAATGATCTCAGTAGCACCCAGCCAAATATTCAATTCACCATAGAAAAAGAAATAGAGGGCCAACTCCCGTTCTTAGATGTCATGGTCCTACACAAACCTGACATTCTATTGGGACACAAGGTCTACAGAAAATCTGCTACACAAAAACTCCATCCACCACCCACGGCAAAAAAGAGGCATAATCAAAACACTGGTATGCCTGTAAATCAGAACTGTGAAGCTCAGTTTCTCAGCACCGAACTCAACCATCTGAATTGGGCCCTACAGGCAAATGGCTATTCCAAAAATGGAATCACAAAAGAGCCATCAAACCGAGAAAACAGCACCAAACTGAAGAGGAAAAACAGCCACCCACAAATAAAGTATTTCTGCCATACATCAAAAGGGTCACGGACCACATGGGGAAACTTTTGAAAAAACATAACCTACAAACAGTATTCAGGCCCACCACAAAAATACAACAAATGTTACAGTCAGCAAAGGACAAAAGGGACCCCCTCACCACTTCAGGTATATACCGGATACCTTGCAGTTGTGGCCAGGTATATATTGGGACCACAAAATGCAGCATCCACACCAGAATCAAAGAACATGAGAGAAACTGAAGACTAAAACAACTGGAAAAATCAGCAGTAGCTGAACATGCCCTGAAACAAGCTGGACATGAAATCCTATTCCAAAACATAGAGGTACTGAACAACACCAGCAATCATCCCAGCCACAAGAACCACTGATCACTGTACACAAAAAAACTAGCTAATGACACCCATCAATCACAGTAACATATCATCTCTCCCTTGTCACAACAATACACCTATAACAAAAAACCTAATCTCCTGAAAAGGACAAGAAGCTGATCCCACAGCCACAAATACTCAACTATCCCACACACTACACCAAAACACAGACATATTTCTTACTCCTGTCCTCTGAAGATGCTTGCTACAGAGACTGGCAAAATATTAGGAAAACAAAACCTCCAGAACATGGCCAAACAGCCAGAAAAACCTACAAGAACCAACTCAAAATTAAATTGGATGAAGCATCCGCTTCATTTCCAGACAGCACAGCTCAGTTGTATTGCTTACCTGACCAATGTCTATTGCTGGGTTCAGGCTGTTGCCAACATCCATCACAATGTCTGTGCGAAGATTCTAGACATTGGAAGAAACAAAGAATAAGTTCAGAGCTTGTCTTGTATAATTATGCAGATTCTGTTTTGACCTTGCATGTCCTATGTTTTCTAGCAGGTGTTGCACTGTGGCAAACAGCTGGAACTTTACAGGCCAAACCTCCACCAAAGCATGAATGCACAAATTTGTCTCAGACTAGACATGGCCATGGGCAGAAAAGAGGACCAAAAAGAGGAAATGCCATCCCAGAATGTCCATGTGCTAACTGATATGTACAGATGGAAGTGAACATATTGGCGACCATGAGACCGTCATACCTGCTCAGTCTGCTTTCCAGGTGCTAATTACTGAACTCCCTTCTTAGGGTTCTTTGTCTGTAGAGTTGGCTTTCTTGTGATGGTTGTCATGCTCTCCAACTCCCTAACGAGGGGAATGGACTGGCCGTTACTTTATTGTCCTTCAACCAGCAGACACTTCCCGTTTTATACTTGTGGTCTTTGAATGACTGACCATGATGCCGAAGAAGATTTTTTATCAAGTGTACAAGACATTTCCTTTATTGAGGGGTTTAAAATTTGTGCTTTTACTTTAATTGGCCAGTATTTTATTCCCCAACTCCCTCACAACCTCCTATTTTGTGCACAGTTGCACTTCTTCTTAATTGCTGCTTTCCCAAGGTGGCCATTTCTTGTGCTCATTTGCTGTGGAAATTATTTTCCCACTCAAGCCTTGCATACTTAAGTAGAACTCCTAACTTCTCTGTCTCTTCCCGTGTACCTGATTTCAGAGGTCCTCAAAGCCAAGGCATTGTGGAAAAGGTGGCCACTTAAGGATATCAGAAGTCAGGCGTTATCCAGATACCTAGCTGAGATATGGCCATGCTATGAAAGCAAGTAGGCAGCAAATAAACGAGAGAAGCACCATCTCTGTCTCGTTCTTTCACATTTTGTACCTGGTGCCTTCAAGGATACTGCCTTCAAAGGTTGCACCACACAGAGAGCATTGCAATAGATTACCAACACATGACAGATTTCCTGTGTAAGTAGGGTGGGAGGTGTGCAATCTGCCTAAGTATATAAATAATTATATAAATAATTAAATAATGGGTACACACAGGAAGAGACAGAGTTTTCCTCAAGTATGCAAAGCTTGATAGGGGGGAAAACTTCCTCACAAATATGCACAAATTATTACAAAGCATTCAAAAACAAATATCAGTGGGTAACTTTAAGTCATAATGAGCAACCTCCAGATGTCCACATGTACTCATATCTGGACCTTAGAAGACTACTCCTACAACTCTCATTCTCCCCTCAACAAAAAAATCTTACAAAAATGATGTTAAAAAAAACAACCAAAAAAGCCACTCAAGTGACTGCATTAAAAAACACACACAAAAAACAAAGGTCGGGCAAAGGGTAATAAGAACATTGTCTCCATGCCACACAAAGTGCACAAAGGCACTTTTGAGCCCTCCAAAATGCAAAAACTTGGAGACTAGGAGGAGCTGAAGGGCTACAGGGGCCAAGAGTGCATTTTGAGCCCTGGATGCACCACATGGCCCATGGGCCTCACCTTGCCCACCTTTGCTTTAGGGATTGCCTCATCTGCTTACCTTGTGGTCACCAGTAAGACAGTCTATCTCAACTTCAGAACAAGCAACACCATAAGAAAAGTACAAGAAGGCTGTTCCTTCATTCTTTTCAAAGTCATAGTCAAGGCCAGGAATTCTTAAGAAAGAAAAGAGAGGAAAGGATTAGATCAGGGATTTTATCATTTCATCCAAGTTAAGATTTCTACCATTTATCATTTGGAACATTATAACCAATTTTTCAATGAGCAAGGGAACTATATTGACACACTGTGCCAGTTTCTGCCCTATTTATATTCTCTTCCCTCTCCATTTTATCTCTTATTTTTCCACAGCAGATTTTGTCCATATTGCTCCTAATGTAGCTTTCTTCAGCCTGGCGCCCTCTATATATTTTTAGCCTTAACCACCCATTACCCCTCAACCAGTGGCTATGCTGGCAGCCACTGATGGGAGTTGTGTGCCAAAATTCCTGGAGGGACCCAGAAGAAAAGTACAAACTTCCATGTTGTCTCCTCATTTGTGTCCTCCTTCAGCTCCAAATACGGTAGTTGAAGTGTTAAAACCACCACATTCTTGCAAAGCAAATTAAAAGAGCGGGAATCACAGAAGGGCAATGCAGTTGCTATCACATCCTGCTGATGGACTTTCAAGCAAGCAACAGGTTGGCCATTGTGCAAATACAATCCTGGGCCACATCAGTCTTGCCCTGATCCAGTACAGTATGGCTCATCTTATATTCTTATGAGCCACCTCAGAACAGTTAATATGGTGGCCATCTATCCTACTTTAGAGAGGACAGTCTGTTACGTGAAGGTATGTGTCCTATGTTTGGAGGGCTGAGCAGTAGTAGGTAAGTATTATACGTAATTAAAAAAACATATACTAATATATCCAAAATGGCAGGCAGACCAGCTGCTGCTTCTTTGATTTGGATGCAACACCCAAAATGTGTAAATGAACTTGCTAGATCTGGCAGAATCTGACTAACTACATCAAAGCAGAACTTAAGGTCCTGGATTTGTGTCTGATGGAAATTAAACTTTGATAAATCTCAATCGGCACGTAATACAGATTAAGCTCTGCCCAAACTTGCAGGCCACACCCAATTCTGAATTTACAATGCCTTAAAACAGAGCAATGTACCCAAGCCCAGTGAGGAATATAAACCCTTGCATAAATAACTAATAAATAAATAATTGTGAAACCTGTTTAACAATCCTTTTAGCTATACTCATAAAATAAAAGCTTCATTTCATCATGGGCCATGTAGAGACTGAAGGCTGAAACTTCAAAACTAAAAGATCTTAGCCGATCTATCATGTTTACAAAACACAGCCTTTATACAAGAGATTATGGATCATGTATTTTATTATTAATACATGTCTAAACACTTAAAATTACTTCAGCAGTAAGAACAGGAAAAAAAGCACCCAAATGCCCAGAGCACTTACAACCACTTTTATAAGGCCACCTGCCCGCTTTGCTGACTCACCTATAAAATCCAGTTGCCGACAGACTGACACAACTATGGTAGGCTGTTAACACCTGATTTAAAAAAAAGATTTTTTTTAAAGCGAGGGCTCTTGAATGATAGAATACTTGCAAAGTTTCATGGAAAAGAAAAAAAATTAATGGATTTATTATAAATAATTGAAACCCACCCTTGTTCAAAAGGGGAATCACCATCAACAGAACTGCACACAGAAGATTACATTTCCCTTAGCAGAGGATGAACATTCCATGGGTCATAGGATCTATATAGGACCTGCAAAGGCCACCCGTGTAACTACCATGTTTGCCCACTTCTGCCACGGTCCCCAAATGCCACCTACACCTACCTCCAGATGCCCTATATTCTCTTTCCCAGAGTTATCTGGCTCTCCCCAGGCAGCCAAACAGCAGGACTTTGGTGGGCTGTCAAGATAATGAGGAAAAATAGTGCACCAAGAATTGTCACCATGTAGCTGCCTTACCAGCGCAATCTGGTTTCTACAGGCATCCAATTTGCTATTTTATACAGATAATTATCTTAGAATCTGGGGTAAATGACATACAAGACCAGGCAGAACAAACAGAAGAGACTGGATTCGGTGTGAGGAGACAACATTAAAGCCTCTTTTTCCTCCCAGAAAGCTGATGGGGAACAAAAAAGATGACTATGTGTGCATGCATATATGTGCATGTGTATGTGGATCCCTGATCCACTATTGCATATGGCCCATGGTAGTGGAAATGTTGCTAATCTGTATAGCCTACACGATACTGCCCAGTTGGGGACTCATACGGAGCATTTGTTGCATTTTATGTGGCACTTTCCCTGCTATCTAGACAACAGAAAGCTTACACCAGTAATGACAGTGATACAGTGCAACAAAAAAAAACAACCCCTGTTTTCCCATGCTTTTTAAAAATCATCTTCAGAAAGTCAAGGGTGTGCTGCCCCACTTTGTACAGCCAGCAAAGTCCAAGTGGCAATTCAGGTGGCAATTCAGCCCTATTCCACTTAAAGAAGCTTAAAAACCCAGCACAAAACTCTAGCAGAAGATCATTTCTAGAGTTTTGAAAACAGTGGCTTTGGAAGGCCATTGATTTTTCAGATGAATTATCAGCCAGAATTGTGCCGGCCTGCTATCCTTAGGACCTCTCAATTTAGCTCTAACCTACTAAAGAAAAGGACAGAAGATTCAACAGACAAAACAGACAAAACAGACAAAGATATAACTAAAGGGCTCTAAAGGGTTTCTTCAAAGGTTTCTTCAAGAATGTTGGAACATTTTTAATTAACATTGTACTTAAATAAATGCTGATCTGATATCAGAGAAGTAGAGCAGCGTGGACATAAATCCCAGTGAAATCTGTGCTTAAGTGACACCAACCAGCATAAGGTGGGAAGGAGCAAATGCTCCTCGTGGACAAAGCCTGTGTGCAATACTGCATAAAAAAATAACTATAAAGAAGGATCTTCTGTCGTAAGAGATTTTTCACTAAAAATCCTGGGAGATAACATAGCATTTTAAGGACATTCATGTTCCCACACAACTCTTTTCTATGCTCGCTAACTCAAGTGTATGGAGAACCTGACTTTGTACTAGAAAAACCTTATTCTGTAACAGAGTTCAGCACAACAGTGACATATTTGGCAACATCAGTTCCCTGAAATCCCACTGTAGGATGCCAGAACAGGATAAGGCTGGTGCAAAGGTAAGGCAGGACAGAGACTAGAGATGGGGAAGTCACCAGAAAGAACACTGCCTAGATTCACGGTTCTGGAAGTCATTACAATTCAGAATTGCAGCAATTGCACCTTGTACTGTATATGGTAATCGTAAGTTTTTCATGATGATCTACAAAACTCCTTCTCTCTCTTGGGCATATAGCATAACTGAGAAGGCTGCTAGAATGTCAATCAGACCTCTATAACATCTTAAGTTCCAGCCACTCAAGAACACATGGATTGACCACTGATAATTTAATTATGGCACCAAATTCACAGCTGACATTCCATCACTAAGGTTTAGTAGATGCGAACATACCCAGTCTTCCCAGGATCCTTTTGGGTTGGCAGCTTTGATGGGTTCCAATCTCTTTAGGATAGTCTGACAAGCATTCTGGAGAAAGAAAGAAAGTATAAGACAGCAATACATCAGACACACAGCCCTTTCTATACCAGCAGGTTGCCATTACATATGCTGGATTCTCTTTTTAAGGTGAAAACATATGTACTGTACCTTGTGACCATTGCTGCCACTGCTTCAAAATTTCTAACTTTTAGTGGCTCTAGCTGCATGTTCCTATTAAAGTGCTAACCAGACATGAATGCTCTCTCCAGATTGAGTGTGCTCCCCATGTTGAAAAAAAAATGGTACTAATCTCTAGATGGCGCAAGAATCACATACAACTGGCACCTTTATTGTTAAAATCATCCTGGTGAATACTTTTGAATAACAACCTTATTTCTAATGAGCTTCCATCTCAAACAATATCTGCTACAGGCTTCCTGCAATGTATATTTTTGAACAGCAAGCCAGGCCGGCCTTTTGCAGGGAGGCTGCATGGGCGCACTGCAGAGAGAACCAGTACCATCCGTGATCTCCTGTTGAGTACACCCTATAGTAAACAGGATGGATCCATTTAGAATCTTCATTCAGTATACCATGATCACTAGTACACCACTGATTAGATCAAATGTAAGAATACACAGAAGCATAGTAGCCAGGCACCTACTGTACTTCATAGGGCTGCTTGCCTCTTTGTACAACTACAAACAGAAAAACTGCTTTTTTTGCTTTAAACCTTCCAGAATGCCCCAGCCAGCACGGCCATACTGCTCATGTATACATTGATCAAAGTGGAGCCTTTTAAAGGCAGAAGCAAATAAAAAGCACTTATTCAGAGAAAGAGAGATGCTAAACATCAGAATTCCCACATTTTTAGGACGTTTAGCCATGTATCGTCCACTCTGACCAGCAGGGCTTTCTAAGGTCTCTGGCCAAAGTCCTTCACATCACCTGGTGACTTCGATTGATGAGCTGATGGCTGAGCTTAGGAACATTAGCAATGAAAAGCATGGGCTCCACCCCAGGTTCCCGTGTTAACCTGCCTAAACAGCCCAGTGAAGTGCCATGCTCGTGAGACAGCACCCATAAAAGAGAATGTCAGGCTCAGTCAGAAAACATGCCCAGATAAGCACCGAAACACAGAGGCTGAGCTCCTTTTTAGATGCCCTCTTTCTCTTCTTTCAGATGTAAAACGCTTTAAATTGCATGGGGATTATCACCTTCTTTAGCGGCTAGCATGTGGATGGATGTTGTCCAGTTTCATCTACATTTCTCACAGAGCTTTCTGTAATTTATTTATCCTATCGTACTGCAGTCACTATTAATAGGTATTTGATGCTCGATGTAGGGACTGGATAATTTGCTGAACCTCCCATTTTGGTGCTTTTGTGTGTGAAAAATCTACAAAATTATTTCTTGCCCACACAAAAAAATTACAAAAAAGCAAGTTTTCTTCTAATGCAGAATATAAGATTTTGGTGCAAAAAGAGTAAACAAAATCCATTTGTGTAGCTACACAAATTGCATAACTTTTTGGAGATGAATTGCCCCAAGTTAAGAAATCACCATAGACACAACCTCATGTAACTCAGTATGCAACCAATAATGCCTATGGTGATTTCTTAACTTGGGACAATTCCTTTCCAAAAGTTACACTGTTTGTACTATGCCAGCATAAGCAGGTAAAATGACTTAGCCCAGTGTCCCCCACCTCCACCTCAATGCTGTTGCTAATGAAAAAGGTGCTGGTCTTTTGTCTCAGTTGTACAAACTAAAAATCCTTCAGCAGCGGAGTACACCACTTTTCAGTCAGGTGTCCTAATGTATGAAGATGCCGTTTTTTAAAAACCAAAGATGAAAAGATTTGTGAATATACATTACATTCATATGATAGCATAGTACATAAGTAATGTTCCTTACTGAAACAGCCATCCCGTTGATATCGGCACTGACAGAAGCAGCAGTTGGAGATGCGTTGGGCACGGTATTGGTGCTTGTCTCACTGATATAGATCTTTGAAGTTGGTATCCCCAGACTTCTGCTGGCCACCTACAAAGAGACAGGGGACACTCGTGAACTTTACTGCCATCTTTATTGCTCATGTTTGCAGGATTTCTTCATATACTAACCACAGAAATCCCAACATTTTCTAAACCACGTCATAATTGATGTTGTGTTCTTAAATTTTGTAATTATGGAATAAGCTGCGTCCTACTGCTCTGATTTATAGCTGCAAAGATAATCAGAATATGCATTTTTATTACATATTCCTCATCAGTTGTGAGAAAGTATCCATTTGCATACAAAACAGAATGGATGTGAAATGATCTGTAATATGTTTAAGACTGCATTTTAAAAACTAGAAGGGTGATAGAAACAATTTTTAAAGGAACTGCTATTATGCGAGAAACAATGGTTATCTTCGAGTATCTAAATGGCAGACCGAACAAAAATGAATGCTTTAGGCATACATTCAATTAATTATTCTCATTGTTTTGATTTTCCTGTTATGTCTGGAGGCATTTAAATAGCACAGCCGAGAGGAAAAAAGAATTTAGGTGAAAATAGATTGCTCCTCTTTTCTTCCCTTTTTAATAAAAAGTAGCCCTACTCAGCAACCCTCAAAAACCCAAAGCAGCTTCCCCGAGGAAAGAGAGGTGCTGGAGGTGGCAGCATCAGCTCAGGAAAAGACCCAAATCTAAGCCGCAGTCCTTCCTATTTTAAGCATGTGATCCCTTTATATGAATGGGCTTGCTGGATCGTAGACAATCATGTTATAAAAATCTAGTGAAAAAGGATGGCGTTTATTTTTAAAAGCATATGTTATAGCAGCAGCCTATCACATAGGCACTCCTAATTTACCTGGATCATCTTGGTGTGTAGGCCCTGGCCCATTTCAGTCCCACCGTGCGTCAGCAACACCGAACCATCTGTATACACATGTACCAGGGCACCAGCCTAGCATAGAAAACAGAGAGATTTTCCAACTATTCAATGCATCATTTCTTGGGAAAAAAAATAATGAGGAGTCTAGTGGCAAAGACCAACGAGATTTATTTGGCATAAATTTTCAAATGCTGCAGCCCGTTCCTTCAGAGGCATACCTGTCTTCAATGAAAAATTGGTCCATGAAACCTTTTGCCAATCAAACCTTTTCTTTCAGGTGCCACAAAATTCTGTGTTGTTTTTGTCCACACAGAACAACAAAGCTTTCCCTAGAAAACATCTCCAGGGCACTCTTTACGGTTGATATCTCAGGCACAATCAATTTTCTTCAATATATGCATATACAAAATGCAGCCCCATTGCCTAACGATTGCACTACCATACCAGTTTCTGGAGCAACACAAGTTGTTTCACATTTATTGGACCGTAGAAGGATACACAAAAAAAAACGTGCCATTATTAGCACATGGGCCTTTGAGTGCATAGTACCTCATACAAAAATGACAGCTACTAACCCCTGTTACATAGTCAGTGAATGTATGTGAGAGGCACATACGTACCATATACGTACCATATATACTATATACAGAAGTAGGCAGCACCTCAGAACTCCGCAGGCGGTGGTTCAAGAAAGCAGAACAATGTGTGCCTTACCCCCCCTCCCCTGTACCCCACCTAATCCAGCCTGAACCCCTTACATGCTGTGATTGATGCTGTTCCAAAACTGAAGTAAGATTTAACTACACATTTTGCTGCTTCCATATGTGGAATGTGGGGGCACATCACCATGGATAGGAAATATTTGGTTTTTAGATCACAGGCCACACGGGCTGCTGAGTTCTGAGAGCTATAGTCAATCTAAATATTTCTCTTCTCTGGACATTATCTTGTCCTTCATCCCTGGAAGCATCATGTCTTTTGCTGATCACCTCAACAAGAGCTTGGAAAGTTACTTCTTAAAAGTATTTTGTTCCCATTATAGTATTTAAGTAGTCATATTCTAAAGTAGCTTGTGTTGTTTATTACTTTTCATTACCAGGGAGTGGGGTGGTGGTATTAAAGCTTAGGATAAGAAAATGACATAAATGGTAAATGACAGAAACATTCCAGAAATGCTGAAGAATTCCTAGCAACATGGATCTTAAATACCATTTAAAAGTAACTTTAGAAAGTAACTAGGAAATTGTTGCATATCATACCAATAACTCTTTGGTTAAAATTCTGTTGTTTTTTCACCCTGACACAAGTGCAATGGCATAAATTGCTGTGGTGAATTGCCACTAGTTGACCTCAGCATTCCCTATGAAGATGAAGTCAAACTGACTAAACAATAAATAATTAAGAGGGCATGCATACCTGGTTGAGGAAGGGAATTGTGAAGCTGATTCCAAATTTGGTTGGAATAATGTCCATGCCTCTCTTCTTCCATCGGTTTTGCCTGGGATAATAGAACAGGGTCAACATCACATCCCTTCTCAATTGAAATTCCCCTGAACCAGACCAGATCTTGGGAAAGTTATGGATGGCAAAATCCGTTAGCCGGCTCGGGCACAGATGTGTGATGCCTTCCTTGTTTTATTGTTTTTCTTGATATCTTTAATGCTATTGTAAGCCACCTTTGTATACTCATTGTTTTTAGCTTTAAATATTGTCTTTTACTGATGTAAGCCACCCTGGGTCCTTTTTAAGGAGAAAGGCAAGGTAATGAATGAATGAATGAATGAATGAATGAATGAATGAATGAATGAATGAATGAATGAATAAATAAATAAATAAGCAAGCAAGCAAGCAAGCAAGCAAAACAAACCTGTTGAACTCATCAATGAGTTTCCTTCGGGAGTGATAGTCTGAGGTTTTCAGGCACTCATCCCAGCATCTTCGCAAGGTGACTCCTTCTAGCTTTTGATTGAAATGAGTCCGATCTCCTTCATTATAGAGATTGAGCTTTCGCACCTTCTCAAAGTAAAGGGCAGAAGAACAGCTTTCATTAACACTTCAAATGTCTCTCTGGTGGGTTAACCAAACTATTTTAAGAGCATACTACCGTATTCTAAATACTCTTGACACCAAGTATCATGCTGAGATCATGTTTTTCAAAGGAAACAAGTACAAAATATACTGCTTTCTAAGTACTTGCCCAATCAAAAACTGGGTTTGGGAAAAGTTTTTGACTGGAGGCCCTGAGAGCTCTGTATGGACTGAGTTTCCAAACTTCTGCAAAATATTACTTATGTTGCTTTTATAGAAATCAGTTGTTGACTGGAGGACACATTTTTAACAGAAATAGCAGGGTTTATGAAATCACATCTCAGTGATGACCTACCTCTTCTGCGGGAAGCCCACATGTTGAGGCAACATCACTCATCCAGCACTCTGTAACCATCATCCCCTGGGGACCCCCAAACCCACGGAATGCTGTGTTGGAGGACAGGTTGGTTCTGCAGACTTTCCCTATGCCTCTGATGTTTGGAATGTTGTATGAATTGTCCATGTGAAGGATAGCTCTGTCCATGACCTAAGCGACCAACAAGCACAGCACAAATCAAACATCTCCTCCCATAATTGTCTGCAGAGGTTACCTTTCCTGATCTTACAATCATGAGTTGCAGAACAAATCAATAATTGGCCCATTTTGCATTCAGATACCAATCATAAAAATATATATTTACACTTATATATTAGTAATGATAGTAAATATGAGTTCCTGACACTCATTTTGTTTGACAGCTTCACTGAAACAGCAGGTTAACACACTGTTGAAATTTTATATCAAACAATGAAATAGTCCCCACTTGTACACCCAAGACAATAATATTTTATATACACAAACAAATTGCTTAGAAACAATGAAATGGTATCACAGCATGCCACTTCAGCTGAACTCCTGCTGTGCAGTTACATAAACACCATTACAAATTGCTGTAAATTAAGAAATAACATAGACATTATCTCTTCACGCCAAGTTGTGCAACTCAGTATGCAACAGTACATCTATGGAGATTTCTTAACTTATAGCAATTCACATCTAAAAGTTGCACCATTTGCCTAACTGTGCAACAAGATTTTAGCCATCAAATGCCTACTGGGAAGAGGTAGGAAAAACCACCCTCACATTTCAGGACAGGAATTATACCTCAGTATGAAGCTGCTTGAGTCTTCCCTCAAAGTTATGAAAACATGGTGCAAGATGTGTGCATATGTAATTTTTAAGAAGGTAAAATGCTCACAACAAAGTCCTTATATCATCTATCTGCATTTATTGGGCATTCTTATGCTTAAATAGCCTAATGTTTAGCCTAATGTGGATTTTTGGATTTCCATGAACTTCAGTTGTTCGTTCATGTTACTAATATTTGGGAGCCAAATGATCCTGGAGTTTCATCAACCATACTTCAGCTTCAAGTCCTTCACATTTCTATGGCCAGGATCTTGCTGGTGAAAAACATGTATAGAACGATAATTGTGCAAGTCAGTCCTCCTTTGGTGAGGTTCCTATTGCATGACCGATAACACAGTGGTTGTCCAATCAATCATGCAACAGACAATCCACAAAAAAAAGGAAAAAGGAAGAAAAAGAAATACTGATAAAATTGCTGGTATGTATGAGAATTTTTTTACACCAGAATTTGATGTAATTTGTTCTCATTTCATGTCTTTCCATTTTATCTATGCAGTTCAACATCTTGCCTGTTCTTACTGTACACCTGCACATTAAGGAAACAGACCAAAATGTTTGCTTAACTTACTCCGTGAGACAGATCAGCTGAATTCCCTCCATTGCTGTAATATGACACTTCTAGACTAGTAATCTTTCCATTCTTCTTGAAGCCAACCTAGGAGAGATAAGGGAGATGTGATTAAGTTCAGAAATTTCAACCTTTCCAGTTCCAGATGTTTTGATTTTCTGTACACTGAATTTTCTGGATGACAGAAATAAGACCTGCCAACAAGATGGTAATAGCTATGTAATAATTTTATCCTCAGCAAGTTTTCTCTCACCTGTGCTGGACTACAATGGCCATTATCCCCCCAAGCAGAACCAAATGGCTTAGATGGTGAGGTAATAGAGAGGGACCACTTTCTAATGCTATCTATGTTACAGAGGACTTTGCCCCTGTACTGTTTGGAGAAGCCTCAAGATATCGCTATGTGCAAAGTGAATGCTTTATCACTGAACTTTCATCCTTCCTCACAAGAATTGTGTCTTTTTAAGATCCATTGGAAAAAACAAATAGTGAAGACTGTTTGCTAGAACACACTTTCAAAATGTCCTGTACATAAAGAATGCTTGTGGCTAGTCTAGATGTCTTCCATCTGAAATGCATTTCTACATAACTATTCCCCACCCCCAAACAATTTCCCATGTGTGCATTGAGATAAAACAGTCCTATAAGAAGCCAAGATCATGTTTATCCTCAAACCCATGCAAACAGCTTTTCTTTTTGTCCTCCTTGATGAAAGCTACATGAGGAGACACACAGCAGCACAGGAAAAAGCCTGGTTGTTAGAAAGCCCATCTATGACTCCATGTGTTTTTATTCTCCATAAAGTCCAAGTAGGCATCCTTTTTAAGGAGAAAGGCTGGGAAAAATATATATTAAATAAATAAATAAAATAAAATAGGTACGTCCCACCCTACGTATCACCACAGATCACATGTTATCATCAATAGCATGGTGCTTTATAAAAGCAAATACATATTAAACCAATATCTTACAGTGCCACTGAATCACAATGAAGTACTGGTACTGAGCAGAAGAAATATATACCTTAAATCTTACTATATTTGCATTCTTAGATTTAGATTAGGCATTCTTCAGTCTCAAGAGACTATGATAACATGCTCTGAATAGAAGTCTTGGAACATCATCTAGTGTGGCTGAAAAGGCCAATTCAAGAATAACAATCCCTTCCACACTGAACACAAATACAGTCTGTCCCCTGATTTTGCTGGTTTCAGGATTGTCTCTTTGCCTCGGCCTGCTGAAGAAGTGTCTCTTCAAATTGGGAGAGGCCATAATGCACCACCTGCCTCCAGGCTTAACGCTCAGATGTCAAGGTTTCCCATCTCTTGAGGTCCATTCCTAAGTCCTTCAGATCCCACTTGCAGATATCCTTGTATCGCAGCTGTGGTCTCTTTCCCTGCATTAATTCTCCATACAGGAGATCTTTTGGAATTTGACTGAGCAATTCTCACGACATGCCCAAGCCAACATAGACGTCGCTATTTCAGTAATGTATACATGCTAAAAATTCCAGCTCATTCCAGGACTACTCTATTTGAAACTTTGTCCTGCCAGGTGATAACAAAAATGCATTGGAGACAACGCATATAAATTTTCTCCATAAGGTGGTGGGGGGAATCCTCATTTAATTCAATATAGTTATGTATTCCCTGTTACTGCCATGATTTTGGTTTCAATATCATGTATGTTTTCTCAAAGGGTTTCACAGCTGGGATCTGATGGTTGTTGTGGGTTTTCCAGGCTGTTTGGCCATGTTCTGAAGGTTTTTCTTCCTAATGTTTTGCCAGTCTCTGTGGCCGGCATCTTCAGAGGACTGGAGTCAGAACTCTGTCTGTGCCCAGAAAAACTACAACAACCATCATGTATGTTTGCTTGTTTGTGAATTTGGGTGTTGTGGGTTTATGAGTTATTCTTTGTTGTAAACCACTTATAGTTTTTACCACTAAGTCAAGCAGTTTATAAATAGCTGAAATAAAGAAATTAAAGGTGGAGAGCTAGGCAGGGTGGTAATGTGCATCATTTTACCAAGCGCACATTCCTCCTTTCAACAATTTTCACACTACTGCATACCATCCTTATAACAGGAAAGGATGGACTAACTTTTAATGTAAGCTGCAACATTATATAATAAGGATAAGGAACATCTTAACCCCAGAGCCAAATCCATCCCTCCTCGGGTCCCAATCTGACACCTTGGGGTTGCCCAAAGCACACCCCATTCCTCGTGATGTTTTGGTGGTTCCTCAGCTTGTTTAATCATTTCCCAGCTTTTGTAAATTTTTTCTACCAATTGCAAAAGGCTCTCTTAAAGTCTACAAGCTGATAGTAAGAGCTTTAGTTTAAAATATACCAGTATTTTTGGTGCCACACTTTAGTCTTTGATCCCAGTCACCACTGAAATGCAGTCCCTGAGAACATCTCTAAAACTGAATTTGGCTCTTGAATTTTAAAGAAGTGTGGCCCCAGCTAGTGTTGCCCACTGGGCATCCATGGATTTATGTTTATAGGATTCCTTGCTAAAAAATTATTGGAGTAAACACATATAGGACCCAACTATAAAGGAAATAGCAGTCAAGCTTTTGGAATACTAAGTGCACAAATTATCTCTCGGTTCCCAATTACTCTGTTTGGATGTGAAAACTGGAAAGTGAAGAAAGCTGGCAAAAAAAGAGATTCATTTGAAACACAGTGTTGGAGGAGAATTTTCTCACCACAAAGACAAATAGGTGACTGCTAAACATGACTAAACTGAGGCTCTTGTACTTTGGACACATACAAGAAGACAAGATTCACTGAAAAAGACAATAATTCAAGCACTACTGCACTACTGTGCTGAACGAACCTTCCAGAATGTTGTGTTTTTTTGTACAAACCGTTCCCCCTCCATTTGTTAACTTTTCTTTCGTTGGGAGGATATAGTTCTAAAAAGTCTCTTCTATTACCTTGTACTGTCCCAAAAAAGGATGTCTTCCCCCAGAAATCAGCATATCTTCATCTCGATCCAGCATGCATCGTACCGGGCGACCAGTCCTTTGAAGGCCAAGAATAAGAGTGCAGCCTGAACATCAGTGAATCTTCTCTGAATACCTTTAATATCTTAGATGAGGAAGAAAATCCCCTTGTTCACTATGGAATAATTTAGGAGCTTATGTACATGGTGGGGAAAGGAAGGCAGAAACATGGTCTCTTCCACAATGCAGAAAACCACCATCATCTCAAATTCTCAGCAGAATTTCAACTTTAGGGAGAGGAGAACCATCTTCTTAAAGTGCATAGAGAAGATCTAAATATGAATTCCAGTCCTTCACTTGGATTTCTCAAGCAGATGGTGGTTGTCTCAACACAGTGTTCTAGGATGGCCAAACAGAAGCCCCTTCATTTACAACTTACTTAACTGCAGCCACTGCTACTGCTGTAGATACAATAGTGCTTCTTGTCTCTTTTCCTCCAAAACCTCCTCCCATTCTCTTCACTCGAACCAGAATCCGATTTGATGGGACCCCCAAGGCACTGGCAACAAAGTCCTAAGAGAGAGAAAAGGATACCTCAGTCTAGAGACAACAATAGAGTCTTTGAGAACAAGGAGAGTGTCCTTCTTCTGAACAGAAATATGTAAAATGGCTGGGACTTGAGAAATCATGGTTTAAATTGGAATGAGCCCAAGGTGAGCAATTTCAATACATCCAGGAGTTATTCTTTTTCCCCCCCAAAGACCTCCCACAATAGTCTTTCACAAAATCACATACTCACATGCAAACACACAAAAGTAGTCACATCTAGTGTAGGATAATTGATATCATAGAATCACTGATAATTGAATAATTGAGTTGGAAGGGGCCTATAAGGCCATCACTTGCAACTGCCTGCTCAGGCCAGGAATCCATATCAAAGCAGATCTGATAGATGGTTGTCCTATTTTCTCTTGAATGTCTCCAGTGTTGGAGTGCTCACCACCTCCTGAGATAATTGGCTCCATTGTTGTACTGCTATAACAGTTTTCCTGACATTCAGCCTAAATCTGGCTTCCTGCAGCTTAGTCTGTGGGGAGGGGAATGACTTCAACCTATTTAAAAAGTCAGTCATCACCTCTGGAACCTTCCAGAAGCAACAATTTACTTTTTTGCCAAGAACAGGCTGAAGACATCCAAAAACATAAAAGGAACATGGAAAGGTCACACACATCCTTGGTCACACTTTACTACTCCTGTCCTAAGGCATGAAAACTCATTGGATAACCTTAGGCCAAAAAGTTCCCTCAACTTGACTCATCTGACAGCATTGTGAGGATATATATTGGAAAGGAGAATGATAGATGTTTCCTTGAGCTCACTGAAAAGGAACAGGCTATAAATGGAACAACAAACAAATACAGAAATATATACATCACAAGCAGAGACATGTAACCATACGTATAAGGTTAAACATTAATTATAACTTAACGTATTTTTATTTATATAAATGTGCAGCATCACATCCTCCAATCAAAACTCTCACAAGAGATTGGCTCACCTGGGTTTTTGTTAAATTCTGGGTAGATACAAAGAGCTCCATTTCTCCGTCTTCTTTGGGCACAGCAATTGTGCAGTGAGTCTCCAGATAAAAATGCTCTTGTCCGCCAATATAGATCTCCCCTGGGGTTGAGAAACACTGGTCAAGGTGGGCCCTTCAAATCACATAACATCCTGAGCTCAATGGATTGTTTTTATGGATAGTGGGAGGCTCTGTCCAAGGTATGGGGTTGAAGCAACATGAGCCCAACAGGATGCAAGCCTTCCAAATCCTGAAATTCCCTTCCTGAGTGCTATGAATCTGAGTGCCCAGACATGAAACCTTGTACCACCACTCTGATCCATGCCACCTTCCTGCCATGCTCAGAGGCAACCTTTTAGTATTTACACTTGTCCCTGGTATCCTTACCTTCTTCACATGAAAATCATCAGCTCTTCCACCACTACCCATTTTCTACCCACCCCCTCCACTTGACGCCATTCAGCTTTAAAATGGCTCAAATCAAGCTATTGCCTTCTTAGTACTCGACATATGTTCATAGACTCAGCTTTTTGTGCATCGCTCATAAGTCTACAAAATGCCATTCCAAACCAAACAAGGATTTCAGCACAATAGAACTCTTTCTTGTCATTTTAATATTCCAGGGGCCATAAACTACTGCACAAGGATCTGTAAACTGTTGGTCTTATTGGCAAAATGTGTAAAAGTTTTTGAAGTGTTTTTGAGTATAACTAACACAGCAACAAAATGAAACAGCATCTCATGCATCTCTCCAGACTACTAGTACCCAATCCTGAGCCCCCAGATGTTTTTGGACTACGAATATCTTTGCCAGCACAGCTAGTGGTGATGGTTTATGGGAGTTTTAGTTCAAGAATATCTGAGGGCCTGAGATTGGGAACCACTGTTCTAAATGGTCCAGAAGTGACCATTTACTTGGTTTCTTGGTTTACTTGGTTCTTTGCCTGCCACCACTGTTCCAGCAAGGGCCCACTCGCCTCCAAGGTCCACTCTTCTCCACAACCAGAACAAAGGAACAAAGAACTGTTTCCTGGCTTCTAGGCTAAAGACCTCTGGACTACATGATTGTCCAATACCTGTGATTTTTTTTACCATCAACATTACTGACATAACTTATTACATATAGCATGATATCAACTCTTTCTTGGCAATGTGCCAGCTTGTAATATGCAAGACAAGCTGTTCATGATGATGCTGCAGAACAGCACAGTTGACTCCTCCAACTTACCCTTATCACAGGATGCTTATGCCAATAATGTCCAGTGTTTATAATACAATTGCCACCTTCTCCATCTAATTTTGTTGTATCTCTACCCTTCTACTATACTTGTATATGCCTAATACTGCACTGCATGTGTCTGAAGAAGTGGACGGTACCACATAAAAGCATGTGCAGAAACAAATACCATCTGTAATACTGGACATGGTGGACCTTGGTTTGTTTAATGGGTCTGGAGGCTGCAAAGGCTGTTGAATGAATTGCAGCTTCTGGGGAACCGTATTCCCCATCAGACTGCCAACAAGGGCAGCATCCTGTCATGTTGCTAACCTCTAAATACACTGTTAGGATCATGAAATGATTTTCAAAATTTCAGAGGTCCTGCCCATCTCTAATTTTTTTTCAGTGAGAGAATTTCAAAGTCCACAGCAACAATATCCTTCATGCAATGACTGCATAAAATGCACATTGTCTTATAAGGAACACAGACGTGAATGCTTACCATCTACAATATGATCAGCCTCTTCAAATCCTTTCTGGACATTTCCTTTCTCGATCTTCCTTACCAGCTTAAAAAATGACTGTTTCTCAATTGCTTCCTGTGAAAATTATTGGAAGATCATAGACAGACTAGCTTGCAAAAGCTACTTTTTCTCTCTGGTGCAGATTTCTGTAATTTAACTGAGGTTGGATCAATAAACATAATCTGGCCTATTTTGAATCTAGGATGATCAGGTGAAATTCAGGGAAAGCAGATTTCTCATGCTATAAATGCTGGGTTGTTTTTGTTTTGTTTTGTTTTGTTTTTTTAACGCTGCACATAGTGCAATTTCCTGAAAGTTGAGTTAGGGCAACTGGACTTATTACTTATTAAGTTGAAACATTTCACTACTCATCCAAGTAGCTTCTTTAATCTGAAGAGAGTTGATAGGAGACACCTCCCCAACATATCTTCCAGATTGGTTCACCCCCCTGTTCTGAATAGGCTCATTAGATGGCCAAAGGATGGGGGTGAGTGAAAATCCCACTTCTGCAGTACTTCACTACCCATTGTCATGGGTCATTAATGGTCATTAGCAGTAGTCTTTCTAGTGAGTATGGTCCTGATCTGTCTGGGGACAGATGAAAGGGCAGCATGATATTTCTGGTGAGTATGGTCCTAATCTGTCTGGGGACAGATGAAAGGATATCATGATAAATAGGAGACCGATTGTATCTAAACCTTCAACCTCTGTTGAGTAATTTAACTGATTAATTATTTTCTATATGCACATGTATGGCTTTTCTGACATCTCTCTCAAACCACCTATCTTCTATCTCCACCCCTGTTGAGTAATTTAACTGATTAATTATATTCTATATGCACATGTACTGCCTTCCTGACATCTCTCTCAAACCACCTATCTTCTCAGTCCAAAATGTGTACATCCTGCTCATCAAATGAGTATCTTCTGTCCTTCAAATGAAAGAACACTGCTGACTCATCAAACGAGCGTCTTCTGTCCTTCAAATAAAGGAACACTGCTGATTGTGGTCCTGAGACATTGCCCTTCCTGTGCTGGGCAATTCTCCTGTTTAGTGACTGTTTGGTTTCTCCAATGTAGAGCTCCGAACGCTCCTCATTCCATTGGACCACATATACTATATTGCTCCCATTGCGTTTTGCTGTCTGGTCTTTTGACTGGATGAGTCTCTACCTTAGTGGGTTTGAAGTGCATGGGTACTGTATGTAGTGTTTACCAAAATTCCTTTTGAGCTTTTCGTTTTTAAGTGCATGGGCATGTGGTGGTTACCAAAAATCTTTTTGAGCTTTTCCGACACACCTGCCATGTAAAGAATGACCAGGTTCTTCCGTCAGTTCTCGGTCTCAAACAGTTCCGTTGTCCTGCTGGATTGGGACACTGCCTTGTTAAAGGCCCATTTTGGATATCCACACGTCTTAAGGGCTGTCTTCAGATATCGGTTCTCCTTCTTCTTGGCTTCTGTGGAAGTGGGGATGTTTCTTGCTCTGTGATTTAGTGTCACAGATGGAATAACCTATCTGTCTCCTATTTATAATGCTGCCCTTTTATCTGTCCCCAGAAAGATCAGGCCCACACCCACCAGAAAGACCACTGTTAACAACTGTTAATGACCCATGACTATGTGTGGAGAATAACCTCACCTGGATGATTTACCAGATGAGATAACCTCACCTGGATGACTGAGAATCTTTACAGATATAATGCACTTTCCTATTCTGCACAAGCATTGTGCCTTCAGGAGCCCAGTTGCTATTTGATCAAATCTAGCAGTATCTCCCATTCATTAGGATGAACACACCACATGTATAATCAAGTTTTTTATTTAAAAGGACAAGCAGTTGTGCTGTTGAAGCTAAACAACTCTGGCCATTGTTTGGATTTGTGTATCCAAGGCCTCATGCTTGGGGATCAAGTCCATGGGCAAAAGATTATGCATGAAAGCTTCTCTTCCATCATGAAGTCCAATCTGCAGACATCAAAAGGCCCCTGCAGATTATGCATTGGTTGTATGCAATTGAATGCAGCTTTTAAATATATAAGGCTAAGAGAATCAGAAAATTGTATATAATGAGAGTGAGAGAGATTGGCTGAAATCCAGAGTAGGAATAAATTGAACTTATGGAACAGTTGACTTGCCAAATTTAGTGGACCTACTGTATTTGCAATTTATGACTCGATATCAACACTTTTTACTGGATTTAGCTATGTAGTATTTTTCTTTTAGTTATCTGCTTAGTTGATTTACATCCCATTTTTATCCCAAAACGGTGACTCAGAGCAGCACAATGGATTTAAGGATACAGAAACAAAAAATGAGAAGTTATGCTATTAAAACATAATTAAACAAACTTTGGCATTAAAATGATTGAATTAACGAGTTTAAAAACAGTGCCGGAACCTTGAACAGCTGCCCTCAAATGCATCCTCAAATCATTCAGGAGTTTGGGACTTGAATTGAGAAGTGTCACATTTGTACACGGTCTTACCTCAATGGTGACAATAGGAGTAAGGTCTTCATATGTGACTTTCACTGCTCTAGCTGCTCTTCGAGAATGCTCTTGCGTGTCTGCCAATACTCCACCAATAATGTGGCCCACGCACGTGACCTAGGAGTCAAGAGATATTTGTTTATTCACCGACCTCTGAGAATCTCAGATTACTGTTTCTTTGCTATCTACAATATAACATTTCATTTTGGATGAATTACCTTTGAACCCTGCCTCCAGTTAAAATGGGCAAGAATCTCTATGCAGAAAGGCTGCTGTTTAACACTAAAATGCTGCTGCAAGGAACAAAGTGCTCAATGCTACCCATGCATGTGCTCACAGATGTCATTCTGCAAAACACACAACTAAGGATTGGTGCCACTTAAGTTGTAATTCTATGCAGACCTTACACAGAAGTCTAACTATAAATTAATACCACACAAGGTTTAATACAACCAAAATCGTAGGATCTATCATCACTTGCAATGCATCACTGCAAATAGTCCAAGTGCAAATTTGTGCTTGATCTTATTTTCTGTCCCTAAACTACCCTGCTTTTTATTCTACTTCTTAGTTCTTGATGTATTGATAAAGGCTGCATAGCAGAGGCATCAGCAACCCCACAACTGGTCTGCAAAAAAGGGACAACCCCACACTTTCTCCTATGTAATCACAAACTCTTGTATGTTTTTAAAATACATAAATTTACTGCAGAACCCTCACCAATTTCTTCTGAGAGTAGGAACTGGTGAGAAAATACTGAAGTTTTTCACTTTATTAGGCACTCTTTGCTAATATTTGATAAATTAATTATCACTGCTAAGACTGAGCCACACATCTGAACCTCTTGGGAATTGCTATGCAAATGATAAAGTAAATGTACTTACAGTGTCCTCTGCAAAAATGAGCTCATCGTTGGCAATCCCAGTTATATTGCTCCCAGGAACGTCCTTAGCAGAGACAAAACACAGAAAGCCAGGCACATTCTGGGCCTCTGTGCTGTCGATGGAACTGAGGGGAAAGGGTAGCAGAGAAAAGAGTTACTCAATGTTACCTAGCCACATACTGTACATAACTTGTTTGGCCTGTATTGAAGAAAGAACTCTTCAAGATCTGGCCACTGGCTACTAGGCCACATTTTTCCCCAATCTGGCCACTCCACTTCAGAAGTGTGATCCCTGAGCAGTTGACCAACCTGAAAAATGGCCTCCAGGCCTGTAGGAATTGTCCATCTCTGCTGTTTACAACTTACATATAGCTCATACATATGTGTGAAACACAAGTACTGTGATAGCTAGACAGACTCTATAGCAACTACAGACCTTGGGAAAAACTCTGGCCCTCCCAATCCATTCATCTTTGATTCCTCAGATGGCTACATCCCCATTCTTATGAGACTATTGTTTGACCATTCCTCAACTTTGTCTCTCCCCACCCCATCTAAAATTATGACAGTCTTCTCCTGAAGCATAGTAGTAAGAGCTTTAACTTTCAAAAATGCTGGTGTGTTTGATTCATTCTTCTGCTTGTGGTCTGACCCAACACTAAAATGGAGTCACAGAGAACATCTCTGAAACAGAATTTGGTCCTCCTGTTGAAAGGGTTCCCTACCCTTGCTGAACAGCTGAACACTTCCAAGCATACTTCCATGCCTGCAGATTTAAAATGGAAGTGGGTTGCCTATTATTCTGGAACATTCATCTGAGTCAGAAGGTGAATGTAATGGAAATCCTTGCAGTATAAGAGATACCTAAGATGCAACCCCCACAACCATAATGGTGGGCCTTTGGGTATTTGATAAAATATTCTTTCTGCTATAGCAACAATACTTACATGATCTTAGCATGGGCTTTTGTGCTGGTAACTAGTGTTAAGTAGAGTTCATTCTCAAAGTGAGGTATGTCATCACAATAAACTGCTTCTCCACTTGCTTGTTTGGCAGCTGAAAGATGTATCAGGGGTCGTCCCACAGTATCTTCAACGGATTGTCCAGGTGGCACTTCCTGACAAAAAGCCCCAAAACATCAACACTAATAGCCCTAACAAAGTCTCTCTCTTTCCAAGATGCTAAAAATCCAGAGTAGCAACAAGATCATGAACAGGTTAAGACATTCATGGAATTCAACAAAAATAGCTTCTGTCCAGTGTTAAAATAAGTAGATATACATTCTTTTAGTTACATTGGCTGAAATCTTCTTGCACAGCCCTGTAGGTTGATGTTGATAATGCCATCAATCACTACTGATTAAAGGGAAATCATCATTGATTAAATGTGATTTCAGGGTGCACATGACCCACACACAGTGCAACAAAGTTGTGTGCACTCTGAAATTGCCAAAGGAAGTCTTCAATCAGCAGCAATTTGTCACTGCTAATGTTATCACCAGTATGCAGCAAGATCTCAGCCACTCAATATAGAATTATTTATAACTGCAGAAAAAGTGTAGAAACAGTACAATGGAAATAGGTTTTTGTTCAAAATAAACTCCGAGGAAGAGGATAGCTAATTTCCTAGAATGCAACAAGGATACCACATAGGTAGGTGGCAGCCACCAGACATCATATTTGGTTCTTGATCATTTGATTCTATTTACTTACTTGGAAAAGCTGCACGTTATGAGCAGGGTCCTTATGAAATAAATCAATGGCACTTGCATACCGTTCAGGTACCACATCACCCAGATTATTCTGCAAATACATTTTAGAAACCTGATGTTAGTTTCAATGAGCCTAGGTAAATGTTTTCATTTACCTAAATGTCTCATTTTTAAAAGCCTTCCCAGTATTTCATGCCAACTATTCCATTTCTGCCTGTGCCTGAGGACTCAATGCACCCCACTTTGAATGGTTGAAAAGATTAATGCATTCCATATTTCTCTGTCACAATTTATTTGAAGAGGGGTGATTCCCTTTTTCCTTCCCCTATTTGCCCCTTACTTCCTTTTGCTGATTTAGGATGATAAGCAACCACCCACTCAGCACTGGGAAGTTTTAGATGGAGAAGGGCTAGATGGGTATATGTTCTCCCCCTTAGTCCCCATCAGCTGCTACATGTTAGAATTCTGTTTAAAGTTCTATTCCGCTATGATCTGTGTCTACAAGTGGGCTGTTTGAGGGTTCTCTGAGTTAGAGGAGAGGCAATGCCCAATTTACCCTAAATGCCCAGTGCCCATTGACTCCAGGTTATCCCAAGCATTCTTTATTTTGGCAATCATTTTGTTTCTGCCAAGAGTTCAGAAGTGCCTGCCCCAAAGAATATTTTTTTCCTTGTGTCCCAGTTTTTAAAGCACAGGGTAGCAACTGTGTGGTCAAAGGCTCATGAAGCCATCAAATCCTTTTTAGCAACTCCTAGAAGCTCCACCTACCCACATACACACATGAATCCCAAAATGGGATTGCTCACTCTTGTTCTAAAGAACCTCTAGAATTCAACAATTTCAGCATATTTGGTGAGTTGCTGCTAAACCTTCAGCACAGCCATGGATACACTCACATTGCCGTTGAGTTCCTTGTGTAACTTCTGAAGCACAGTGAGATAGAACTTAAAGAAGAAGCTGAGCACAAGAGTTCGTCGGAAATCCACCATTCCACCCGGTGCTGAAGGGGACAAATTCATCTCATCAGCTAGCGCACGGCAGGCTTCCTGCAGCAGATTTTCCTTCCACTCCCTGCCAAGAAACAAGCCATAAGTTAAAACCCAACTCATTTCATGTTTCCCATCGTCCATATGGCACAAGTCCTCATATCCAGCACAAATACATTGCTAGAAAAAAGCGTTGTCACAAAATGAGCGCACCCAACAAAAGCAACCCAACACAAGCAACACTGTCAGCAAGGTGTTCTACAGAACTTTTCCTGTGAACCTACTGCATTTTTCAGGTAACATTGTAAGAAATGTCCCCATTCTGCAGGGTCAGAATACCAGTCCTCTACCTTCCAATGAGCTCCTCACATGTCCTGATAGCTAGCACAGTGGTCGGAGCCATTCCTCCATAGCTCAGTTTAATGTCCTGTATGCGATCAGTTCCATCATGAAACAGGACTCTCATCCCACAGGTCACAATGGCAATATCATCTTCTCGCCGTGAAGCTTGCTTGAATGCTGAGAAATATTCCCCCTAGGGGGAAAAAAAGGAATTAAATCTTTATACTGATTTCTTGGTCATAGGTATAATCAGCAAGGCAAAAGATGGCCAAATAGTCCTTTTCTATGAATTGAACTGAACTCTAATAATCACTTTTCATACAATTTGAGGAGAGGAGAGTGATTATAGGAATTGGCAGGAATGGCATCATAGCAAAATATAATGAAATTCAGGAAGAGAAATGTACATTTCTGCCAACCTTTGAATGTAGTTCAATATTATGGGAACTCTACAAAAATTGTAATGTACTCTCTTCAGTTCAGGACAGGAGGTCATTTTGTGTCTAAAATAATGCTAACATATATAATGTCATTTGCTCTGAAACAAAGATTGACTAAATTAAAGAATGTGATCACTAGGAGGAGTATTACTATGACATTTCACATTTTCTTTGCAACCTACATTTGAACCCAAAAGCAATTTTAAACATGTTTATAAGTAATCTGGCCTTTCTCACCAGAATACTCATAAACATGTTCAAACCCACCCATAAACTCAAACATAGGTTAGAGGGGGGAAATGACATATCCTAGAAATCCTCCCTCTAGTTATTACAATGTACAAATACTTCTGTCTGAATTGGTTGCAAGCATTTTTTCCTCTGAGAACACTTCAGGGTCTTGAAACTGTAAACTGTAAATGAATGAACGAACGAACGAACATATGGACAAATGAACAAACACAAAAGAAACAAATAAATAAATGCTGTGAAGATTATGCACATCATACTCTTCTCAGACACAGGACTAGATGCAATGCCTTCCAAAATGTATTTTCAATCTGACTGCAAAGTTGTTTGCTTCAGTATGAGGTGCGTGAAGTTCTCTCATGCATGTAGTGTCGGCCTTGGGGAAATTAATTGCTGGACTGCACCACCCAGAATTCTTCAGCAGCATGGTCATGGCCATTTTGATGGGGAAATCTGGGAGTTACAGTCGAAAAAATAACTTCTTCAAGCTCCAAAGCAGTTCCTTAAGATCCAATTTCACGGCCATGATGTTTATTCCTTATTTCAACCCCTTTTGTGTACATCAGCATAAATATAAAAGCAGAGAAGATTTATTTGTTTGTTTCATTTATAGACTGTGTTTCTGACGAGGGGACTATCTAAAATCCAGATAAACCTTCAAATGACAATGTCTGGAGCCTGCTGCTTATATTTCTTAGACAGTGACAACTGATTGAATAAGGTACCCTGACAAGAACTCAGCTCCAGAAACAAATTGTATTTCTCCTTCATACATCATTTCAAAATATATTTCCTGCCCTGTCTTCCAGGTTTTGTTAGTCCCTTATAGCTATGTAGCGTCTTATTTTCAAAGAACTCCATTCACCAAAATATGACAAGCGCAAGTAGCCGAGCCTCAGAGCAAAGCCAGCCAGGCATGCAGCCCATTAGAAGAGTGAGATGTTTTGTTAAGTGTGCTCCCACTTCACACACCCCCCCCAGCACTCTCTTCACAAGCAGTTCTGGCTCTGGGCCTCCACACTCCAAAGCTGTATTTTTCAACAGCTGTCAAGAAGTGGATCAAAGCACTGCTCATGCACAGGAGGCTGTCTGGCATCACTTGAAGGGAAGAAGCAGCAGCATTCGGTAGTCCCTGCCTTTTCCTATTTTCACAAATGTATCACTCATCAGCCCTGGCATAATACTGTCATCCTATCCTATGTGCTTTGCTGCACCAACACCACTCTGTCACTCATGACTGTGGTAGTAAATATTTTTTCCTCTTGCTCATAGACCTGTCACTGCTTTGTAGGAAAAGAACGGGGGGGGGGGGGCAATATCACCTGATTTCTCCAGAGAAATGATAAATTCTCCAGCAGTTTCTCAAGGGTCTGCTATTTCAGGGAAGAGAGACAAAAAGACAGAACGGTTCTCAGAGAAACATCTGCTGAGAAATTTTGGCTTAGCCCTTGTCCTTCCACAGGGTTCAGCCAGGGGAAGTACCAGCGAAGTAAGCTGCAAAATGAAGGAGAAACGACACATTTTCTCTCTCTCTCTCTCTCTCTCTCTCTCTCACACACACACACACACACACACACACACAGAGAGAGAGAGAGAGAGAGAGAGAGAGAGAGAGAGAGAACACGTTTCTCCTTCATTTTGCAGCTTACTTGGTTGATCCAACTTCCTGTTCAGAAAAAAGCCCTGAGAGGCCACCTTATGAAATCTTTCCCCGGACTTTAACTGAAAAATGAGGAGTTCAGGAAGTGTTACTAGTACCCAGATAAAGTCAAAGGCAACACATGGACTTCTCAGTGACTCCACTAGGTAAGGTAAGCTTCACCCATCACATTTTCTGCAAAGTTTCTCTGTTTTTGATATTATTTTCAAAAGGAATTTCTTTTCTATCAGATTGATTAGGAATTGTCAAATTTTGTGCAGGAGAAATTTTAAGCACAACACCAGTATTTCAAGGAGCAGCTGCCTGTGTTAATATCTGAAATGGGAACCCGCAGAGGCTGCTTTGATTTTTTGCTGATTTTTTTCTGGAGTTCTAGAGTTGATTTTTTTGCTCTTGTGACCATCAAAGAAAATTAACACTGGATTTTTAGTGTTCTGTATCTGTGTCATACATGAGGCTGCAATCAAAAAGCTGCAACCTAGGGCACAGTTACTTTTGAGAAGGCTTTATAAAAACTGCAGGACTTGGCATCATTCAAGGCATGCACAGCAGAGGGTGGTAGGACCATAAGGTGAACAATATTAAAACAAATACATCCGGATGCTTGGAAATAGGAAGGAGTAAACTATCTGAGCGTACTCATTAAGAATTTAGCTTTCTCTAGCTCTGTTTTGTGCCAAGGCTCGCAAAGGACTGTTAAACGTTTTGGTGAGAGGGTCTTTCTGAGATGTTATAATGGTGGATTCCTGTCCATGCTTAGTCCAGAGCACAGACAGAGTTCTGACTCCAGTCCTCTGAAGATGATGACCACAGTTGGAACGTCAGGTGAAACGTCAGGAAGAACAACCTTCAGAACACGGCCAAAGAGCCCAAAAAACCCACAACAACAACAACAATGATAATATTTTGCATAATGCATTTTATTTTTCCTGGGGGAAGGGACAAGGAAACTTCCAGGGCACTGAAGGCGAACTCCCAAGCTGGATCTCTTACTCAGATATTTCTCTGCCTTTTGAGATATCCACAGGCACTTTTCAGACACTTAAAACATATTGGTAACAAAAAAAAACAAAAAAAGACTAGAAACTTAGCCCTGAAAAAAGAAAAATTAGGATGCTGAGAAACCAGAATTCTCTATCTCCCACATCATATTTTCTGATTTTCCTGCATTCCTGAGGATTCAAGGCACATTCTTACAGCTGGAAGAGAGCCCTTCAAAAACAGGTCGATATACATGAATCCTTTACTTCCAGAATTGTCATTCCGTGAAATAGTGCTTCCCAACCTTAGCCAACCTAGGTGTTCTTGGACCGCAACTCCCAGAAACCCTGGCCCGCTCAGCATCTGGGAGTTGCAGTTCAAAAATACCTGGGTTACCCAAGGTTGAGAAACATGGCTCTAAAACTATGTTTACTCACCTTCCTGCTGAAGGGAATCTCAACAGACAGCAGTATTTCCTCAGGCTTTAGTATAGTCTTCCTATAACCGGTAAAGAATGTTTCATCCATTTCTATAGTCCTACTTCCTTCTGTAAGAAAAGAAGATAGATAACTGTTGGTAGAATGTGTAAACAAACCATTTCCCATTTCATGCACGCCAGTATTCATTCTTGAAGGCTTAGCTGCTGTTTGGTTTTCACAAGGCCATCAATTCCATGTGTCTATACTAATAGAGCAATATATTCTTCAAACAGCCATCGTAAAAGTGAAGACACATAGAGACAAATGAAATGAGAATGGAACTTCCCACGCAGCCATCGTAAAAGTGACAAATGAAATGAGAATGGAACTTCCCACAATGCATGTGTTCGCTGAGTGTCTACCTTGTATACTGTCATTTGTGTGTGTGGGGGGGGGAGATAAACACTGCTTTGCAGGATTAAGGTCTCCTGGAGATTCCTCTAAAAGGAACATCAACAGTCTTATGGACAATGTGGCCCTGCAAACACATCTTATTGCAAGGCACACTCACAGACATTTACATTCACAGACATCAACCATCAGTGCTTTTAAATAATACGTGTCAGTGGCATTCAAACTATTGTACAGAGAACTCTGGGTCCCTAAACATTATCAAGGGTTCTCTAGCCAGAAAAACAGTTGTAAATAGTTTGCCATCCTCTGCAATATGTACAATCATTCATTAGGCATCCTTCAGTCTCAAAAGACTATGGTAACATGCTCTGTATGGTGGACTTGGAACAGCATCTAGTGTGGCTGAGGAAGCCAATTCAAGAGTGACAATCCCTTCCACAATGAAGACAAATCCAATCTGTCCCCTGTCCAGCTCTCTGATTTTGCTGCTTTTGTAAATTCCTCTTTGCCTTGGCCTGCTGGACAAGGGTCTCTTCAAATTGGAAGAGGCCGTGATGCACCGCCTGCCTCCAGGCTGAACGTTCAGATGTCAGGATTTCCCATCTGTTGAGGTTCGTTCCTTAGGCCTTCAGATCCTGCTTGCAGATGTCCTTGTTTCGCAGCTGTGGTCTCCCTTTGGGGCGATTTCCCTGCACTAATTCAGTGGAGGATATTAAGCATGTACTCCGTGACAGAGGAGGCAGTATTCAAATCTGCAAGACCTACTTGCAGGATCCACTAACTTGAATCTGATCTAAGGAAACTGTACACTTAGAACTGAGAATTCTGTGCCCAGGAATTCATTCTGAGTACAAGAATGAACAGAGTTTGCATGCCTTTTGTACAATACTTCTCACTTGGTTTAAATAAAACTATGTTCTCGGTCTTCCTTCACAGCAACAATAGAACACATGCTTGGTTTAAATAAAACTATGTTCTTGGTTATACCAGTCTTCCTTCACAGCAACAATAGAACACATGTGGGCAAAGTACAACCCTTCAGGAAGTGTTAAAACGGAATTCCTAGCAGCTGTTGGGGAATAAGAGCTCTTCAACTCAGCTTGTGTTTACTGGCTGGGGGTCAAAAACAGAACATAGAGTGAATCTCAGTAATAAAAGTTAAACATTATTGTTTTCAAAAGGACAGAGTCACTAACACACAGTATATGTGTAAAGTGGGTCTCTCTGAATTATCAATTCCTTTTTTTATGGTTCTAAGTGGAGATGTTCAAAGTAAACAATTGAGCATGCACAGGAATGCATAAAATAAAAATATTGTATGCATTCCTATGAATGTTATCGATGCTGAAAAACATCTATAACAAGAACAGTGCAGCTTTCTCTGATAGACTATTTAGACCATGTGATCAGGAAATGCTTTATGTATAACACCTCTGTCTGACCAAAAGATTACAGATTTCTATATCTACTCTGATGCCCAATTATGGGCACTTGTTTATCACCTCCACATTTTGCATCCTTCTGTTTTCCCCTCTCAGCCTCAGCCAGTGCTAAGGAATGCTGGAAATCATACTTCAAGGGGACGGCACTTTGCCCATTTTCTCAGGATGAAATTTTTTTAAAAACCCTATTCTTCAGTATAAGAAATCCTGGCCCATCAGTTACAAATCTGCCAGAGATCTAACAGTAAATATCTGCTTTTATTCCCCCATGAAAAACTCCCACATATATCTCCCTTACCTGTTTAAGGGCTCACTCTGAGTTGACAAGGACAATCATGTGAGCTCCCCGCTTGTAAAATGAGTATGCATCCCATAGCATTTCCAAGAATTCATTCTAAAGGCCCGGACTAGGGTGGGCTTTTTGTGATAGATATACAAAGATTCCTTGCAAGAAAGTGTTCCCTGAAGGAAAATTTGATAACTGCTGTGGTGTACCGCAACAGATTGGTTAACAGCACTGTCAAACGCTAAATCATCATTAGGATGAAAATGCATCTCACCTCTCAGATACTACATCAGTTATCATATGTTTGAATCAAATACATTTAAAAAACACTTCTGGCATATGTTCAGAGGTTGTTTAAGAGTGCAAAGTTATTTGAGAATATTCATCAACAAAACTCACAGAAGAATAAATTAGAAAATACTGTAATAATATTTATTTATGTTGCACTCGATACCAGAGCCCATTCCAATAGTCAAAAACAGTTAAGATACAACCATAACATAATTACAACGATAAAAACATACAGTAAGCAATTATCATTCAATAAGGCAATAAACAAACAATCCAAATAGCTACAATAACAATATGATAATTAAAGTACACCTCTGTTAGTAATTCTAACCCAATAATTGCCTAAGAAAAGCTCCTTCTCATTGAGGTTTCTGGAAGTAAAATGTCCTGAAGCTCTCCCTGATTCATCCCAAAAAGAACACAAGCATATATTGCTCCAGCTAATATCTTTGGCTGATGCCAAGTAAAGCCAAGAAGCAGTTACTATACAACACATAGCATCTACTATTCTATTTTAAAGCTTAGATTGGCTTACCATTTGACACCAAAGTCAGTTTGCTCCCACTTGCCATTAACACTGGATTTAGGTCTGAGATTGGACTTGCAGTCATTATATTTCCCCCAAGAGCCTGAAGAAAATACATAACACTATTATTTCTTTTTTTTCTTTGTTGGCAATATTTCTATACTATCATTTATTTTGTATGAAAAAGACGCCAGACTGCAGCACACTATATCAAAATAAAATATGTAAGGGAAGCTACAGACGAGGGACTTTATGATATTTGGGGTCACTTCCAGCTCTGCAGTTCTAGGATTCTCTAATCTTGACAGGCTTTATCTCCAACTTTTTCATTCTCATCTAGCCCATTATGAATTCCAAGGAATGTTCAAGGATACTGACTGCTTTGTTGTTATTAGATAGTAAGAAGTGGTGAGGGATCATTAGCATATTGGTGGCACCTTAGTCTGAGGCTCTGAATGACTAGTTTTGTGTAGACAATGAATAACATGAGCAAGGCTCTGAATGACTTCTCCCAGTAGTTTTGTGTAGACAATGAATAACATGAGGGAGAAAACAGAACCTTTGTGACCAAAGGTCAATGTCTGTAAAGCTGAAGAGTAATCCCACAGCACCACTTAGTGGACATTTCTCAATGAATAGGATAGAATCACTTGCTAAGCAGCATTCCCAAGGTCAAATCCATCCAGGCAGTCCAGAAATATACTGCTGATGATACTGAAACTGCCAGAAGGCTCAGGAGAACTAATATGGCTACACTCCTTCCATGCACTTTCCTGCAAAAGTGACCCAACCCCCAAGACACTCAAGATACTTCCTGTCTTATATCCCACCCAAAAGTCCAATTACAATGGATACAGGTAATAGGGGTATGGGTTAGAAACAAGCTCAAATCATAAGGAAACCTTTAAAAAATACTGCTGTTGAGTTAGATTGAGAGGCCAAGAGAATCCATATTATTTTGCTGGTTAGTCTTCATATGCTAATCATTTTCCAAAATAATAACAATTGTCAGGCTATGCCACTGATTTATGTGTTAATTCAACATTAAGTTGTAGCTGATTTTGTTTCTTGAGATTTATTTAACTCACTCTGCAAAGGTTCTGGGCATAATTTCTCAACAAAGGAAATGATATTCAAATGTGATTTGCCAATAAATAAACCATAATTAATTTTTACTCTAAAAATACATTCCCAAGCATGAAGCCTGTCATAATTTAAAATATAATCATTATTGTGACAAATGTTAGCCTCCATCCTCCTTTAAGAAAAATCAGATCTTGGGAAGTCACTGTTTTGGACTACAATCCCCAGCAACTCCTGGTCAGCACTGGTCACACTAATTGGTGGGTTCTTGGAGTTGTAGTCCACAGAAGTAACTTTTTCAGGCCCAGAACTTGATAGGACCTTGATCAATCTAAATTCTTGAATTTAGATTGATCACATTGAAAATACCTTCACCGTGTATGTAATCAAGAGGCAGTGGGACCAAACCTTCCAAGATCATGTGCCTCCATCCATATCTTGATATCCATCATTAAATGTGAACAGTTCTAGAGGGAAAGCCTACTAAAGGCCTATGCACATCACAGACTTTCCCCTTTGGGTCTGTATGACTAATGCATGGATGTCAAGGGAAGCTGTACAGCCAGATCTAGCAGCACAGCCTTCTTCACACATTCAGAAGCCCTAATTTTTCAAGTCCCCAGCTGTGTGGAAAATCACCACATGCCTCTTCAGATTTCTTCTCTCTACAGCTGGAGAATGACAATAGACGAGCCTTAATTTAAATCCTAAGAAGTAAGCTAAGGTTCCGAGAAATAGTACTACACACACCATGTGCACTTTGGCCTTTAGCTAAAACAGCACAGACACACTTACAGCAACATTTCGGATTTGAGGTCCTGCAAACCACCTCAGCTGTTCTAGAACAGCCTGGAACACCTCAGATTTATATGGAGGCAGCTGAGCCACTGCTTTCCTCAGAACCTCTTCCACATGGCTCAGAGTGCAGGAAGCACCAAACTGGATACCTGGATAATCAGACAAAAGAGATTTGGCTGGTAACTCTAAAGTAATTACCCAGGAAGACATTGCTGCCCTTGACAGATGCTGAAAGCATTTTCAAGTCTTCACTTTCATCCCACAACTGTGGCTTCTCAGAAACATTTCCTTTATTTGAAAGTGCTCGAGGGAGGGTTTTGTTCCCTTCCTTTTGAAGCAGAAGGGATTACCAGGATATACGGTATTGCCAGCATTTCAGGACTTTACCCTTTTTTGCTAGATTTAAAGAATTCAAAGCAAGAAAATAGTTTCAAAGGTGCCAATTTTACAATCAGTAACCAGAAAGCTGTACCACACAAGTGTGCATGAGGACAAAAACAGAGTCGGTACATTTGTCCTCTGGTGTGTGTGTCTGGATGTATGGACACAAGCTCACTGACACATATGGCTAGTGCAGCTCAAATATATATATGCCACAAAGCAACACAGAAGCAAGGTCCATACCTTTAAAACCAAATCAGAGGGAGGTGGCTTGTTTTGCAAGGTCTGTTTATGCTGGCACAAGCGTTGATCTTCTAACGCTTCCTGAACTGCAAACCAGGCAACTGCCTAAAGCAAAACCTGAATTTCTCGCTGGGAGTCAAATGATCACTGGCTAATTTTTCTATCTCACGGTTACAGAGGGCCCATCAAGAGTAAATCCAAGGATATACAAGGTTTATGATATTAAACCATGCAGCATACTTTATAAATGAAAGATGCTCTGCATTTGTTTGCAGCTACATCGGCCTTTGGGCCATTAAAAAAAATCCCTTCTGAAAAAGCAGAACTGTTAGTGGTCAGAAGTTCTTTGCCTAAGCTGCCAGTCCTTCAAAATTTAAAAACAAAACTAGCACAGCCATAGCAATTTGCCTGGAGTTCAGTGGGAATGACCTTTAGGAATACTTGATAGATAGGTTTGCTTTTCATTTCTTTTAATTTGCCTTAATTCCACTAACTAATATTGAGACAAGAAACAAAAATGCCCCCTCAGTTGTACTGGTAGCAACCCTGGTTATTTGGTTATTTGCTTTAGTTCGATTAGAATTTGGCTTGGCTCACTTCTCTGAGTCGTCTATTACATGCTTGGCACATACGGTTACTGTATGTATCTTGTGTCTTCCTTCCTCTATTTATGACAGCAATTTGTGGCTTGTATTTGTATAGGTTTATCTATAAGAGACTGGCCCACAAAGCTGAATGCGGCCTGCTAGCTATTAGTGACAGCAGAACCACAAAGTTTATCCATTTCCTGACAGACACTATTCAGTGTTGTGGGTCACAAGCTGTTCAAACTTTCATCTCATTTATGCCTTGCAGGTTACTCTCTACAGTGTCTCAGTGGACGTATTTCAAGGGGAAGTAGCCATCTCAATCTGTTGCAGATAAACAAGAGAGGCCAGAATCCTGTTCAGATCATGCAGAGTAAATCAGCAATTGTGCAAACAGTGTGCAAAATCTTGCTGTTTCTGTCTTGGCCACTCCCAGGTGGTACATACAATTATGTGCAGGTCATGCACATTGTTGCACAACTATTTGCACATGTGACAGATGCAGAAACCAGACTCTGCAATTCCCTTTATATGCATGGTATTTTACAATAGGATTCTAGCTGCAGAATCTTGTGGTACAGTACCTTGCAGACTAGCCAGCCTTATTTGGCATAAGCCTTTACAGATGGCAGCCCACTTTATGATGCATCTGAGAAAGCAGTTTGTACTTTTGTATGCATGAAAGATGATGCCAGAGAAAACCCAGTTGTCTTCAAGGTTGCTCAATTTTTCCTACTGCTCTTTTAGTGGATATAGTCTTGGATTGACAGCCCTAAATCCCTTTTACCTGAATGAGCAATGTGCGGTACATGTACTACATGTATCCTCCTGCCCAGTTTTGTGGGGTGCAGTCCCTAGCAAGTATGTAGGTTTTCCCAAAGGAGACTTCTGCTGTTGGAAGCCTCTAGAAAGCAAAATAAAAAAATAAATAAAATAAAAATAAAAACAAAGTGTCCCTCCACACCTTGTGTTCTCAAAAAATATTATTATTTATTGAATTCCTGTGCTGCCTCTAATCCACAAATGGGACTCAACTGTCAAGAGAAAATAACAATAATAATAATAAATAATTAAACCTGAGGTGGACCTCTGTCTACTTCCAACTTTATTTTGGGGGGCAGTGATGTCTACTGCAGGGAGACATCGGCCCTACTGATTTGCAAAAAAAAAAGTTGGGGGAACCACTGCTACTTCAGGCTGTGGTCACAACAGCAAAATGTCCCCTGAGTTTTAATCACGTGACTGTCATGCTTTGAAGCCACATGGCATTTATTCCAGCATTTGCATCCCAATGTGTTAGTTGGGGGAACTCCCCTGAGTTTTAATCACGTGACTGTCATGCTTTGAAGCCACATGGCATTTATTCCAGCATTTGCCTCCCAATGTGTTTTGGGGTTACTGAGTTATTTCCTTCCAATTCAATAAGCACTTAGAGCTTCTTGTTGAGACCATTTGACAGAAGTTAAGCAACGCATCAACCCGAATGCCACAGAAAATGTCTAAAGAATAAAAATATGTTAAAAGGACATGCATGGTGACAATAGTTCCAAAAAGCTGTGATAAGATCATTCACATATGTAGCAATGCAACATTTTAAAAAAAATCCACAACTACAACAAAAAGTAGACGTCTCCTACCATGCAAGAAAAGGTCCACAGTTAGCACACTTTCCAGGTGAATGATTTGCTAATGGCTGTGTGTCATGTGACTGCAGATTTAAATTGTGAAATCAATGAGGGAGGACTGGAAAACCGTTCATTGGTGTGACCAAGGCCTTAGTCTCTGTCTTATGGGAACTATGGATGCTCTCCAGGTAGGAATGACTACTCCTATCAGCTCCCTAATCCTCTTGCTTCTGTCTTCTATTATTTCAAGCAATCCTCTGTCCTACACAAGAGTATCTTTCCTGCTGCGCCTAAACTATGAAGGGCCCACACCCCCAATCCTATTGGCAGCCCAGCCATCCTTTCTTACATCAACTGCAATACAAGCCCACTGAAGAGCTGTGAAGCCTCCAGCACTAATTCTACATTTTATAAAACACAACCAGTCCTAACGTTTGCCAAATGGGACATCTGCCTCAAGCAGAAGTTTCTCGGTGTCTCAAAAGGACAAAAACATGCATATCTGAGAGTGCAATGAGATTACTGCAAAGGCACACATTGGATCACACCAGAAAGGGTCACCATAAAAGGACTGATCTTCCTTAAAGTGACCCTTCCATCTGCCAGGGAATCACTCCAGCTCATCTCCAAAAATTAAAAGCCCTACAGTTTAGGCACAGCTTGGGGTCAGGCTGGAGCACCATTTCCGTATGTGTGGAGTGGTCGAAATAGATTTTCCAGACCACTGTTCAGTTAGTTAGTATCTCCCAGCCAGAAGTTTGGAGTTTAATTCCCCCATGTGACTCCCGGAAGAAAAGCCAGCTTTTATAACCTTGGGCAAGCTGTACAATCCCTGACTGCCTCCTAGAAAAAGAGAATGGTAAATCTCATCTGAATTCTCTAACAAGAAAACCCTGGGAAGTCATGATTGACTTGATGGCACATCATTATTAGTTTTTTCTTCTTCTTCTAATATTTCTACTGCCAGGGAGAAAGAGAGGTGGTTGTGATATTTTCTGCCTCATTTGTACAATTAATTTAGTTGGCTTCAAACATGCACCACTAGATCACCCAGAAGTTAAATGGCTGAGGGATGCCATTTCCTTGTCTGCATTAGGCAGAAAAACGTCTTGGGCTGCCAGGGCACTAAGCATTGTACCATCAATGCCAGCAATGGGAAAACAGACCACCTCCAGCAGCAAACATTTTGTTTATGTAACTTGTTCTGTTCATTTCTCCCTATGTTACCCTAGTAGGTTCGACTAGCGCATCTTGGCTTCAATAGCAGAAAAAAGGTGAAAATAGTGGGGAACCACCCATCAAACTAAGACATTTAAGGTTTTACATTGCTAACAAGCCTTTTCTTGTATCCTCTTAGGGACTTGTTGCCAGTCCCTTGAGGCAATCGTCATGTTGATACTTACCCTCCTCTGTGTGCTGAACAAAGTTCATTTCTTGGATCCATGTCGGGGCTATTATGACAGGGTACAGCATGTTCTTTAACCTCATTTCAATACCTTAAGGAAACACAATCTAGTGAGGTCAATGAGTACATGGCAGACAGCCAGCATTAATAGGTTTACCAATGAAAAGGCAGGGTTGTTACATAGCAAGTCCCAACCCACTGAATACCATTTCAGTGATGATCTCTTCTGTTGGCTCTTGTAGGAAAACCCAGAGCCTTTTTTTAATTATTTTTATTTTTGGAAGTCTGACTGGGATCAGCATTACATGCTGGCTTGCAGTGAAGTGACTGTGCACAGCTATGACCTTCTCGTGCATCTAGCAATGTCAACAAACACTGCCTTTACCCATGATCTATGTGCACCCTATTTTTCATAACTGAAATCACCACATTCCAACTAACATATTAACGGGGGGGGCAGAGGAAACCTTGTAATAAGGCCATTGAAAAGCTATATACATTAATTTTCAAGTAATCTAATTGGCCTGGTCACAACCTACCTATCACCTGCAGAGTTTGCACCTGTCAGTAATTCGAAATGTAAACTTTAAAAGGAAGCTGGACAACAGGTGGAAAATTAAGTAGTAGTGGTTTGCTTTATTTATTTTTTTCATTTTCCTCCCCTGGTTTTACAGACTGCATGCACCTTTTTTTCTTTTTCTATTTTTCTTGAGACTCACACTAGATACTTTAGGAAATACAATTCTCCTTAAAGCAAGGCATACTTTTTGAGGCAAGAATATTTCACTGGCGTCTAGCTTTCCATTTTGTTTTTTTATATATATACTGTAAAAACAAAATGGAAAGCTAGATGCCAGTGAAATATTCTGGGTCTGTGTCTCTTATATCATCTTGGCCTGTGTCTCTTATACTGATTGTATCCCTTCATTATATTTATGAATTGATTTGATGGCGGGGTGGATTTGTTGTAAGCTTCCCTGAATGCTGTCATTAAAGTCAGAAGGCTAAAAATGTTCTGATAAAAGAAATAAAAAATAAATATTATGAGTGAGGGAGCAATGCCTCTCCACCCACTTTGTACTTAGCTAGCTGTAACCACACACCTCATTATGGGTTGTTTTACCCCAAAGCAAAAAAATCAACACAGCAAAAGCAGCTAAAAGTTCTGACACCTTCAAGACTAACAAATCTGCCACAGCAGACGGAGTCTGGCGAGGTGAGCTGAAGAAGCTTACTTTCATATACAGTCCACACAAAAAAGAAACTGTTAGTCTTCAAGGTGCCACAAAGCATTTAGTCATTTTTATGCCCAAACTTTCTCTCTCTTTTTTATTCCCCCCAAGGAGATGTGGAACCCCTATTCTGTCATTCTACAGTCCACATGATGGCCACAACATGAGCATGTGAAGTGAGGAGGAGCCCACTGATCCAATCTGACCCATGTCACCATTGCAAAACATCTAATGCTCCCTGCCTGCCTGCCTGCTCTTCCAGCATTATAAATCAAGCAGGGAACCTACACAGGGAGAGCAAGCTATCCACTGTGGGTGTGACACACCACACATGAAGGGGCAGCAGTGAAGACATGAAGAAGGGGTCAAGGCAAACAGATTCATCCCTGCTCTTTCCCCTCACATTTGCAATTATGGGGCCAAGGGGCTCTTCCAGCATTACAAATCAAGCAGGGAACCTACACAAGGAGAGCAAGCTATCCACTGTGGGTGTGACACACCACACATGAAGGGGCAGCAGTGAAGACATGAAGAAGGGGTCAAGGCAAACAGATTCATCCCTGCTCTTTCCCCTCACATTTGGAATTATGGGGCCAAGGGGAAGTAGAACAAAGAAGGTTCCCAGAACTGACTTTATTAGTTAAAAGCAAGGAAGGCTTGAAGGAGGAGAAAATAAAATACTGACCAGACAGGAACTTTCATTAACGTTTTTAGCATTACATGATCCCAACTAAAGTTCAGACAGAAACTAAACTCTTCCTCTTACCCACTTCCGTGTTCCCAATGACAAGTTTAGCACTCGGGTACTGGGCTTTGAGGGCCACCAGTTCCTTGAGGGTTGTGGGCTGAAACCACATCACACGCTCGCCTTTGAAACACAGCTGCTTTTGTGGTTTATTATTGTGAGTCTGTAGAGACAACACCAGATTTAGCTTCACAACACACACTGACAACAAATTTTGGCTTCCTTTCTTTCTTGTAGTGACTAAGTAAAGGCTTAGTCTATATATCAAGACAAGAAACATATACGATTGGTGACTAAACAAAGGCTTAGTCTATACAGTATATCAAGACAAGAAACATATACGATTGCAACTTATGGTTACACTGATATTCAATACACTTATATGACTCTTAAAGTTACCAAGCAAAACCACACAAAATCAACACAAGCTAGCTTAGTTGTTCAATACATCAGTGATAAATAATCTTCTAAAACTTTTGTAACTTACCCATCCTGTGATAGTGGATGGGAGGCAGATGTATGAACTTTGCCCCTTTAGATACCATACCATATAGTTTCAATATTCACATCTAATCTGTTTGCTGTGTTTTTGTTTTTGTTTTTTGCAATAATTGAGTCAATTCTTCCGTCATGTTTCAACCCACCTCCTGATGGCCATGATCCTGTTACTTATACATGCCTGCATAAATCAATCAGAGAGCCTGGTTACATTAAAAAAAACGTATTTGAATCAGGTTTAGTATATTTTAAATCCAATTTTTAAAAGCTGACTACATAATGCACATGGAAAGTGGATTTCCTCCCCCTCCCCCCGGAAGCATTTTTTTGTTGTTGTTAAAAAGCAAGGGTTTTTTTTTTTAATTTGGTGGCAAGATAATCATATACAGTATTTTTAATTCATCTGTGAAACCAATTCAGTTTTAATTGCTTTGGCATTTGTCAATGCCAAATTGTGACTATCATGTGAGTTTAAACAGAATTGAAAAGCCCCAATCCAGGAATCAATTAATTTTATTAATGTAACCGTGCTCTTAAACTCTGCAATGAGTTAAGAAGTCAATGTTTGCAGTTGGTGTTACAGACAAGTTACTTGACTTGGCACAGAACAATATTTGAAAACACCAACTTCTTAGCTATCAGCAATTTGTCCCTGAAGTTATTTCAATTGACTTATGCCAGCATAATGGTTCAGTTAGGTTCTGGCCAATACATTCTGAATTCGATGGTTTTGCTAAGAGCCTAGCCCACTGGGCTCAGTGGGATGATGTGATTGGTTCTTTTTCATATTTGTATGCTTAGTGTTTTTACCTTTTATATATTGTCTTTTAATGATGTAATCTGCCTTGGGTCTTTTGAAGGTTAAACATGGGGTAAAAATACTTTAAATAAATAAAAAATAAATAAATTCTGGGGTCTACTGAATTGCACAATAAGGCCAGTGTGCAACCTGTTTCTCCAAGCCAGTTACATTTGCATTTTTCCCCCCAAGTATAGTTTAAAGTGCCATTTATTTAAAAAATCATACTGTTTTATTCTGAATTTCAGCCAGTCATGGTAACCTAAGAGGAATACATGGTCCTTATTTCAAGCAGGGGCTCATACTGGTTCTTCTGCCAAAAATCCCCAGTACTTTTTTTTTTTGCCCCAAATTTGCTGATTACTGGGGAGTGGCACCTTAGGGGATAAATGACAGCTGAAAAGGGAGATTTCAATGGGAAATCCAGTTTAGGAATATATCAATATATCAGGGACCTGAAACTATTTTCGTTTCAAGATAAAAATGACAACTTCAGTCATATTCTCTTCAAAAGTACGATTAACATAATGTGTTGGTTAGCCCTTAAGCATTTTAGAAATGTCAGAAGAATGAGTTATTGAGCCAGTAGCTGAACTAGAAATCACTTCTAGATGTATGAATGACCAGGCCTCCACCCGTTAGTTTGTTCATTAAACAAGATCAATCAGTTTAAACCTTTCGATTGACTACAGAAAAACCTTTGTGCAGAAGCAATTTAAAAACAACAACTTCTAAAACCTACAGGTATCATGTAGGAACACTTGAGGAATTTGTAAATTCTGCTGTGAACTGTCTTAATTTCTCCAACCACTACACTGGCTCAGGAACCTCATGAGGAATTATATTAAATAACAGTAAAACTTCTGTGTCAATAGTTCCTTTCTTCTTATTTTCTAAAATGTAGAACTTTAATGCACACAAACATGGAATTACAAAGTGTTTCAGGAGCACTCCTTTGCACCACATCATTGATTACACACATTGTTTCTCTGTGGAATGGTACACTTCCTGGAATAACATCCTGTTGTGTGGAAGATTATTTACTTAAAGCTTAAAGAATGGTAAATCAAGATTCACTCATTTGTCTATGGTTACTGACACACTCTGCTTCTCTCTCATGTACTGTCTCTCTTTCATCCCTTCCCCCAGGCGGCATACACCTTAACCACAGTTCATCAGAGGCACAGACAGCTCACTTGGCAGATATTTATACATATGCTTGGCTGTCTGAGGGATCCGTAGGAACTGAAATGTCAGGATCCCTGCATGAGACTTACATACACAAACTCTTTCCATGTGCACATCCTCTTCCTTCCTGAGGGCACATGTACATGCTCCAGATTATAGGTTTGTTGCAACTTACCAACAACTCTGGTGGGAATATAGGTTCCTGTGTGGGGTCTAAAGGCTGGAATTGAGATGGCGTGAACAGAGTTGAGGAAATCAGTCCCTACAAAAGACAAACGGACCTCCTTTACTCCATTTCCCTTTTCCTCACTGTTAAAGAAGAGTGTTCTTTCTTCATTTAACCATGTAAAATCTCTCTCCACACATACATTTGAGCATTACTAGTGTGACCTAAAAGACTGATTATTAGTGAATCCCCTTCTAATTTTTTTCCATTTTCTCCAAATAGGCTTGTGTTCACTTGCTTCATATAGAACCTTAAATGACTCCCAGTGGTTTTTAAAGTAATCATGGCTGTGTATCTTCCAAACCCAGCATGGTATAGTGGATAGAGTAACAGACTAGAACTCTGGAAACCAGGGTTTGATTCCCCTTTTGGCCATGGAAACTCATTGAGGGAGTGGAACTGGTAAGACCACTCCTGAAATACCCTACTTACCTGGAAAGCCCTATTATGGTTGCTCTAAGTATGTTCCGACTTGACAGAACATAACAATAACAATCTTCCAAACAAATTCTCATAGGTTAGAAAAGCAGAGAGCCAATGCAGGTTCAGTGCCTTAAATAGCTCCTTCAAAGTCTGAATAGATTTGCCACTTCGCTGATATGGAGCCACCAGACCTCACTGCCTTTAGCCCGAAGACACAACGATAGTGCCGGTACAAGATTAGGTCAGAGCAAGAGTTGTTGCTGTTATGTAACATCAAGGCATTTCCTACTTATCAGTATGGGTTCCTTTATTAGCTCAATCTCTCTCATGTCAGGTCTTCCTCTTTTTCTTGCTACCTTTAAAATTTCCCAGCATTATTGTGTTTTCCAGTGAGTCTTGTCTTCTCATGATATGCTCAAAGTATAATAACCTCTGTTTAGTTATTTTAGCTTCTGCAGAGAGTCCAGGCTTCATTTGATCTAGCCCCCATTTATTTGTCCTTCTGCTGGTCTCTGCCATTCAGAAAGCTTTCCTCCAACCCTGCATATCAAATGAGTCTGTTGCCCCCATTTTTTCTTTTTATTGTCCAGCTTTCACATCTGTTCACAGTAACTAATATCCAGTGTGATGTATTGGATAAAGGGATGAACTTGGACTCAGGAGAACTGTGTTTGAATCCCTACTTGGCTATGGAAGCTCACTGGTGGACAAGGGGTAGAAATGGTAAACCGCTCCTTAAATATCTCACTTACCTTGACTGGCCTTCTAGTATCACTATAAGTTGGTTCCAACTTGATGGCACATAACACACAAACATAATACTGTAACTGGGACCCCATAGTATGGATTATCTTCATCTTGGCCTCCAACAACACATTATTATACTTGAGGGACTTTTCTATCTGCTTCATAGCAGCCCTTCTAAGTCTCAGTTTTCTTATGATTTCTTGGCTGTGGTGTCCATTTGGATTGATGATTGAAGCAAGGCATAGAAAATCTGTAACTATTTCAACTTCTTCCTTGTCAACGCAAAAAATTTTGCAACTCTTTTCTAAATATGATTTTCATCTTCTTAATGTTCAACTATAATTTTGCTTTTGTATTTTCTTTTTTAATCTTCATCAGTAGTTGTTTCAAGTCATTGCTTTTTTCTCCTAATAAGAGCAAGAGTAATTCTAAGTAAATTATAATTTTCTCTGACAGGAGGGATTTGGATTCAGTGGAAATTCAACAGGCTAGGTGTTGGCTCAGCGTTAGCTGTTTTCAGATTATGCTCTGACATAACCAAGGTTTTCCTTCATTCCAGCCCTTCTCCATTCTGTTTTTGGCTCCCCTGCTAACTGATCCTACCCAGCACAGTAACAGTGGCAGCAAATTCTTCCACCAGCCAGTCTCAGAAATTTGACCCAGCACAAGGGAGTTCAGACAGCATAAGGGCAGTTATGCTGGCATAAGTGGGATTTTGTCCATTCCATATATCCTCCTTCCCCTCATCTGGTAATCTTTCAGTTGGGATTGCTCTGTTAACCTATTATTTGCTTATATAATTCTGCAACAAAACAGGTGATAAGAATAAATGTCCCTATGTCTGGAACACTTACTGTGTTATCTTTTTCATTCATGCAACAACTTGAGCCATTGACTTTGTCTTTGCAGCACCACCCATTCTGCTAGAAAAAATGGAAAGAGTTAATAATACTTAATAAAGTATTCACATTTTAAAAACAGAAATGTTTTTCTAACATGGAAGTGAATGTATAATTGTTATTAATTTGTTTCACAGAATTCTTGTTCAGAAATATTGCCTCCCCAAGTTTTACAAGGGCATACAGACAGATAACATGTTAGAGAAAGGGTTACCCTGATTCCCACTTAGAAGGCTTTTTTATAAATGTTTCAAAACAAAATTTATTTAATGCATACTTGATAGGCTGACGTGTTCTTTATGAAATATTTAGACCTTTACAAAGCTGTGACTATTCAAAGCCACATTAGAAAAAGGACAGAGTTTTAAACAGCATTTGCAAATAAAAGCTGAATATGTCTTCTGCATTTTATGCATTTCCTTTGCATAACCTAGTCCAGAATCAGTCTCCACTTACTGGTTTTAATTAAATTTACTCCATATTTAACTTTCTACCATTTCTAAGATTTGAGTCCGGTAATAACCATTCAAGAATACAAAATTAAATTGCCTCACCTTTCCAGAGAACCATGTGAATTTACCTTTGTAACAGATTGTGAAATATGTTCTAACATAACAGAAGATTCTCAGTGCTAGAATTTCTAGGATTCTTTGGGGAAACCCATGGCATATGAAGTTACATAGAACCTATAGAAATGTGTTGCATCTAAAGCTAAGGGTGGCAACCTATATCTGATTTCATGTTATCTCTGAAATAATTTCAAAAATCCTCTATGAGCAATCAGTTCTGAAATCTATCAGGTAGGGAAGAATGGGGGGAGGGGACCTCAGAAAGAAAACACATACAGGATAGCTCAGCAGTTTAGAGTATCTAGGAGTGAAGAGTTCAATTCCCTCCTGGGCTTCCTAACAGAACAGTCAGATTATGTGGCCTTGTGCAAACTGTACACTCCCAGGCACTACCAGTAGGAAGGAATGGAGTACCTCATATATTGAAAATCCAAGAAAACATTGCCGTAAATAGGAATTCACTTGATGGCACATTATTATTGTTATTTAAAAGGAAAAGCAAGGAAAGGGTTTTGAAGCTGAGGGAGAGAAAATGTGGGTGCCCCACCTATTTTTGGCACCCCCACTCACCACTGGTATTTATCTCCCACAGCCTCTAACTCTGGTCTAAAGGAGATACAGGTTTGTAATATTTATTTCATCCCCATTCTCCTATTTGCTATTTTGTGCTATCTTTCATTCAAGGCAGGCACAGATCTGCTGACTTCTTTTAGCTATGGTGGACATTATAAATTGTTCCCTGACCCCATGTCATCTCTGGAACTTCTTAAGAAGTCTTTTTCTCTGAGGGTAAGATATTTCTACTCAGTCTGAAGCGTAGCAAAGAACAGTCATTCCAGGAGCATTCTGTACAGATCATACTTTTAGTGTATGTTTGTGTGTTGCCCCTTGTCCCAGCACTTTCCAAACAAGAACTTGTCTGACTAAAATTTAAATGGTGATTAGAGATGGTTCACATGACATTCCTGAATTTGGATAACCAAAAGGCATGGTGAATGGCACACATAATGAAGGGGTACCATCCCTTTTCTTTGAGGACATCAGGTGGTTCTTCTTCTGACCGTGGTCTGTTCTCATGACTTGGCCACTCACAGGATCTGGCATCCATGCACGTAATAAATAAGCATTCGTTGTATTAAGCATGGAATAGTACTCGTACTTCCTTAAAATTAGATCCCACTGTCAGTGATACAAAGTTAAATGTGCATCAGATTGAAAGTTAAAAGCACTTGAAATCACACTGCGCCTACTAAGTATGTACAATTCATGGAGGGGGTGTTGATCTCCAAATTCCAGAATTCTCCATTCTGGCAGTTCAGTCTGACAGACCCATGCCTAAATTATGCTCAGTTGGAGCTGGGCTGAAAGATGCATATCTGAGTTCCATTCCAGCTGCCTTTCAGAAAAGTAAGTGTGCTGCTTATATACCTCCCCACAGTGCTTAAATCACTCTCTGTGTGCTTTAAATTCAATTCAGTTATACAGGCTACACATTGCCCCACCCTCAGTAAGCCAGGTACTCCATTTATAAACCTCGGAAGAATGGGAGGCTGAGTCAACCTTGAGTCAGCTATCTAACCCATTGGGATCAAACTCAGATCATGAGCAGAGTCATGACTGTAGTACTGCAGTTTTACCATTGCACCATAAGCATTCTCCAACAGATCCTTTGGGTCTTGGCCAACACAGCTGAAAAAAGACAAGGAAGGAATCACCCAGACAGCAAGCAATTGCCATCTGGTACACAGAGATACCCAGTCACCAGAGCAACTAACTACAACACAACACCAAGAACAAGAGAGAAATGTCACAAGCTGTTCCCAACCAGCCACCGCCACCAACCACACAGCTCAGTGACACACTGGCACAGTCACAAAGTCTACCCCCTTGGCCCACACACTATCACAAAAGCAAACAAAACTATCATCTCAAACCCCCCACCACCACCACAACATAACACCTTTAATAGAATAAACACCCAGTAAATTAATGAAATATTTTTAAAATCAGTCCAACAGGTGAAGCTGTCATCCTCTGACCCCCACACCGGGGGGGGGGTAGGAACAACAACAAAATTTAATCCCACATAGCCTCCTTGCCCCAAAAACAAGAAATGGAAGTAAGCAAATTAATGCAAAAGATACAATTAAACCCCCGTCTCAAAAACCAAAACTACTAGAATGTGGGGAGATTTCCTCCCACCAGCATGTGATGCCTTCTCTTCATTTTTTTTGAGTCCAGCAGGCAGCAGCAAGCAAATCAAGTAGCAGTAGAAAGAATCCAAGAAATGAAAGGACCACAAATCAAAACAAGATCAAAGCAGGGGAAAATCCCTCAAAAATCAGGGAGGAGGGATTTAAAAAAGTAATCCAAAGGAAGCATGCTGGGAGCAGCAAAAATAATCCAGAGAAATTAGGGGAATTCCCCACCCAAAAGGATCAAGACAAAATGGCAAAAAGGAAAGGATCCAAGATGGAATCACAGCAGGCAGGCAGGTAATACAAGATGGTGGGCACCAGGAGGTCAGCACATAATAATCTCACAAGGAATGATTGAAGGAAAGAACCTTCCTCAATGCATTCCAGGCCCTTTTGCAGATTAAAAATTCTCACTCCCTCCAGACATTATGATTGGCTAGCTCCTGATACGACCAGATGAAAAATTTGTTAGGTAATTTGACAGACAAATGGCCAAAGGGCACAAAAGGTTTCAAAATACACAGAACACACACACACAAACACAAACCCATGACCTTCTCATGTATCCCTCTTTTGTAAATACGAATCATTTGTGTTCAAGAGACTTGTTTTCAGGAGTCACTCAAAAAATGACATGAAAGACAGCCTCACTCATGTTTGGGGTCTTTTGATTAACCACGAGAGGCCAAATAAAAACAATGACTTGCAACTAGAACTGGACTTCCCCGACCCCTCTCCACATCACAGTTCCTGCAGCCCCCTCCCTCGTGGTCCTGAGGGCAATGACGAATGTGGCTGAATGAGGTAAGTTGTGGCACAAGGAGGGAGAGAGAATTCCTGAGGAGCAGGTGGAAGCATTTTTATCTTCCAGAAGGTAGAACCGTGATCTAAGCCAAGACAGGATTGTAAGTGAAGCTGATCACTAAAACAATGTTATTTTGTTTTGGAAATATTTGAAGAGTTTGATAGCTAAGCAATACATTTAATGAACTTACCACATTGTTTTCCTTTCCAGCCATACAGCAATCTTGGCCATTAACCTTTTTTCCACAACATCCCCAATCCTAGACATAAAGAAATAGTTCAACAATTTACTTTTCATTGAAGCCACATTGATTTAACACATGGTGCAACATACTGGTGTACCATCTACTTGCCACCTTTTAGTCTCCCTATCTGAGCCAGCAGAGGCAGTTTCATGACTGGTGCTGTGAACACTGAGGCTTATAGCCTTTGGGAGTTTAACATCTGTATCAACACAAAAGCAACTAAAGATTACGTAGCCACCATGTCAAATATGTGCCCATCTATTATTGTAACTGGTCCAGAACATACGTGACAGGACATATATTGGCTCTTCTATACTTGATACTCTGTTTCTTCCAGCCCTGGTCTGCTTCCCATGGATCTGTCACAGAGAGTTGCCAATACAACACTAAGGGGGAATGGGGGAGGCAGGATCCTATCAAAAAGAACAAAAGAGCTCTGCTGGGTAGTATCTATGTTGTTCATGTTGGCCAACCAGATGCCTATTGGAAGCCCATCAGCAGGACATGGGACACATGCTGCCCATGTGCTCCAGCAGCATATTGCTTCTGATTCTGGAGATAACATTTAATCACTATGACTAGAATGCATTCAGCACAGTATCCTCCATCATTCTGTCCAATTCCCTTTTAAAGCCATCCAAGCTATCAGTTCACCACTTCATTTTCTGCAAACAAATTTCATATGTTTTTTTTATGTTTTGTGCAATATATAGAGTATATATAGAGAGAGAAAGAGAGAGAGTATATAGAGAGAGTGTGTACGTACGTACGTACGTACGTACGTACGTACACACACACACACACACACACACACACACACACACACACACACACACACAGAGTGGTGCCCCGCATAGCGATGATAAACCCCGTTTAATGTGTTCCTATGGGCTTAAAACTCACCTTTAAGCGAAAATCCTCCATACGGCCGCCTTTTTCGCTGCCTGGTATGCGAGGAATCGGCGCGAAAACACATCGGGTGGCCATTTTTTCTGGTGGCCATTTTGGAACCGCCGATCAGCTGTTTTTAAAATATCACTATGCGGAAATCGGTAAGTGAAACAGCTTACCGATCATTGCAAAGCGATTTTTTACCGTTAAAAACATCGCAATGTGATCGCAAAAAATCCGTCGCTATGCGGATTCGTCGTTAACCGAGGCGCTTGTTAAGCAAGGCACCACTCTCTGTGTGTTTGTGTGTGTGTGTGTGTGTGTGTGTGTGTGTGT